GGACTCTTTCTTTCTTCATGCCAGCAGAGCAATTGCACAACTGGGGATTTAGTGTGAATCATTACTCACATCTTTGCTAGGAGGGAAAGTTATATTCCAAGCAGCTAACAATTGCAGTGCTATTGGCAGCAACTAATGAGTATGACTATATTGAGTGGTGGTAGAATTAACACTAATAAACGACGAAGTTCATTGCAGTATGTCTGTTAAGGGGTACACTACCATGACACTGGCAGTCACTGTTGGAATGCTGGAAAGTATTCTTGGATTAAAATCAGAAAGCGGCATGAATTAACAGTGCAAGTGTTCATAGCAGGAGGACAGCTGCAGTTTTGGCTTGCCCAACACAGCAATCAATGGAAGGCTCAGAGGGTCTTACACAACTTTTGCATGCATGTTGTCATCCAGATTTACACTCATGGCCTCACGCTCCATTTCCCACTTTCCCCCTGTCTTGTGTCTTGCAGCCACATCAGCCTGGGAACTGCCAGTGTGAGCTCTGCTTCCCGCTGCTCTGTCCTGTCTTGGGTTGAACAGAGAGAGCTTGAGAGCTGTTTCTGTTGAGATGGTGTGACAGTAGTGTTAAAAACACATTTAGAAGGTCCTGGCTTTAAAGATATGTTCAAACAAGGATTTATCAGTCTGGAATCTGTTCAGTGTTTAAACTGTATGAGACCTTCCTTCCTTTGGTAGTAACAGAGAAAATCATGGTAGATTCTGGAGTCCTTTGGAAGCAAAGGAGCTGCACTTTTATTTTAGTATCTGAGCACAGATATTTGTAGTGACTTGCTAAACAGACAAGAGCCTGGGAAAAATGAGTGGACAGTTTGGGTCAGGATGTTATGAGAGTCAGGTTTTGGTCTTCATACTGTTTATGCTGTTCCAGCCCCTCGTGAGATCACAGAAGCCTGCAGAGAAGGAAACAATGGAATTTGATGTTGCACCAAACATCAAACAGGGTTGAAGGTTCTGTGACCTCTGCAAGTAATTAAAATAAAGCTTCACTGGAAAATGGTAGGCTACTGCCACAGTTCCTCTTTTATAATGCATGACATTCCTTAGGGGGTTTACAAGATGAGTCCGAGTTATTCTTTGTGCTGCTCCTTAGTCCTGAAGGGAGTTAAGAAATCAGGTCATTCTCCTCAGTCACGGTAGAACTAAATATTCAATTAAATTTGTCCATCAGATGGGCCTATTATACCTGTTCATAAAAATCAAACACATACATAAGGAAGGGGGAGCTTTTAGTCTTAAATGTACTCTTTCAACTATATAGCAGGGTTTGTGGTATTATTTAGTGTTAGAAAAGTAAAGCTTTTTACATGTTTAATAGCTGTTTGTCAGGTGACTGCTGAGATATCTTTGAATGGAGAGTAAGTGCAGCTGTGTAAACGTAATGCAACAACTATGCACTTAATTGTGTCCCTTGGCCAGCAGAAAATGTCTGTTGGTAATTAGTTCTTCCTCTACCAGACCCGCTGGCATGTGAGCTCTCCTAGCGGGATTCTTGTTATTGTTCTCTCTGGCTCTTGTTCACTGTTGCTCTGTAAGGAAGGGCAGAACTGAAGGCATGAGTAATAGGAAATCTTGGGCTCTTCATGTTCACTAAAGAGGAAAACATTTATTTAATCAGCCTAAAGCTCTACAAGCACTCAGAGAATAAAAGTTAGTCTTGTGGGAAGTGAGGACAGAGGGAATGGACTCAAAAAAAACACAGTCCTTGGCTTTTGAAGTACTGTTACCATGGGGTTAAAGCTGTGTCTGTGCTCAGTGCAGGTACTTCTTATGCTGGCTTTCTGGGGCACGTTGTATCAGCTTGCGTGCAGCTGTATTTGTAGCCCTGGGCTCAGAATCATTCTTACAATACCCACCATAGCCTTCCTTGACACCTAGGGGTGACAGTTCAGTTTTGGCTTCAGGAGGTCCCTAGGGGCACCTTACTGAAGTGAAGGCAAAGGAGCGTTGTGCACATTGTGAAGAGGTTGCAGCATCAGTGGTGTAAGAAGGGCTTGTACAGGAGCTCAGTGCGTTGAGTTTAACTGGTGCTTCAAATACCTCCCAGCCTTTGAGTTTACCTTTTAAACTGCAAGAGGTCTTTAAGCCTGATGCATGCAGTGTGCAATGCAGTGACTTGTATTCTACAACCTTTCTCATTCTGGACAATTGCATGGGGTTATCACTCCACATCAGAGGGAGCCTTCAAAGCCCTCTGTGAGCAGTGCACAAGGGGCTTTTAAAGTGGCATTGCAGACTGGTTTGATCAGGTAAGGAGGATCTGCATAGCCAAACTGAAGTCATTTAATTGAATAGTATGTGTAGGAAGGCTGAATATTGATAGCTGCTGAGCCTGGAAAGATGATCTACGAAAAATTGGATGTCTCATTATAAACTATTATTATAGGTCTTGGCATTGTTATAATACATAATCATAGAATCATAGAATAGTTAGGGTTGGAAAGGACCTTAAGATCATCAAGTTCCAAACCCCCCGCCATGGGCAGGGACACCTCACACTAAACCATGGCACCCAAGGCTCTGTCCAGCCTGGCCTTGAACACCGCCAGGGATGGAGCATTCACAACCTCCCTGGACAACCCATTCCAGTGCCTCACCACCCTCACAGGAAAGAATTTCCTCCTTATATCCAATCTAAACTTCCCCTGTTTAAGTTTTAACCCATAATAGAGCTTGTACTTTTAATTACGTTACTTGGGCAATGTCCTCTGCAAAATATACACATCCAGCTCCCCCCTGTAGCCGACCATCCATGAATGTTGGCTATTGAGCCTCCAACTGCTGTTCCTAAGCCTTAGAGGAGAGGTGATGGTACGGTTTCATTCTCAGGAGTGGTCATGAGAATACATTTCTGAACTGAGTGCAGTTGTTCTTCTGTGCCACAGGGGCATACAGCTCACTCTGGTTTCCCACAGCGGTTCACCAGAGCAATCTGGTCTACTGCAGCAAGGGATGCAGTAAGGGATGAAGGTAGATTGTGAAGGGACAGCAGGGGTGGCCATGAAGAGTGAGGGGAGATTGTGAGGTGAGGTCAGGGGCAGCCATGAGGGGAGGCCATGAGGGGTAGGGGCAGCAGCTATATAGTGTGGGCCACAATGAAAGGGCAGATGAGTGGTGGCTGTGACTGGAGACCATGAGGGGCAGCCATGAGGGGGGATCAGTTTGCCCTTAGTGACATGGTTTAGTGGTCAACCATGAATCGGTGACATTGCAGAACCATGGAAAGCTACTCGATTTTAACACCCATGTATTTACATTTATAATGATGCTTATAATACACCTTTGGCTGCTGTTCCATCGTTCTGCAACTCTAAGGCTCTGGAATTATTTCCGAAATGATTGTATACTACTACTTCTTTTAACTGATTTTTTCTGTCTGCTATGGGCAAATGGGATTTAATCTGAGAACCTATTTTAGATTTGTCAGTGTGGGTAGAAGGTAAATAGGAAAGTCAGAAGAGATTGTTTATGGTTATAAATTGATAACTGATCTTTGCTTCTCCTGCCAACACACATGCCAGTTGATTTAACGGAGAATTTATAGGCAGTGACAGTAACACATAGGTTTACTATTTCATTTGACAAGAAATTGCTGTCAATTCATTCAAGTCCATTTAATAATTTGTATGCAAAGCAAAAGGAATAATGTTCAATATTGGTTTGGGTTTAGCACTTTTAGCTGAATCAACCCAGGATATTGTGATGGATTCTCTCTTTGTTTCTCATATAAAGACATATATGCTTGCTTATTGCAAGTAACAGATGAGTGCTTGAATCCAGGTGCCCTTTTCTAAAGGATCCTCAAGAAAAGCTTGGAGATGAGAAGAAAAATAGGTGGAATGGTTATCTGACAACTGAAGGACTCATTAATATTAGCACTGGATGGAATACAGACCCTTTTAAGACAAAGTATGGATCAAGCTAGTAGGAGTGACTGACTAAAGTTATTGTGAATTAACTGCAAAACAAGGAACAGAAAACTCGGAAGCCTGGGGTAGGACTGCCAGAGTAACTATGGAAAATCCAAAGGATTGGCCCCTTTTGCTTGTGGCAATGAAACACAGCTTTTAATGAAAACAGAGCTGTGGTAGAGTTTCTTGTTCCTAAGCAAAAAACAAACACAGAAACCTCAAAAAAACCCAAACCAAATCCACCACACCTCAAAGGCCAGACTTGAAGAACAGAAGCTGAAACTGTACAGGTGTGAATGGGTGATTTTCTTTGCCCACATGCCATGGTCCTCTCACAACATAGAAATCTCTGCTGGAACCTAACTATCCTTCCTGAAGCTGCATACTTATGTACAAAGGTTTCAGTTCTTTGAGTCTGGGAACTTGGTAAGCATCTCACGGGACACAAACCCATCTCAGATGGGATACCTCAGGTTAGTTAATTGTAATATAACAGGCCCCATACTCTCTCCAGTTCTGATTGTGTAGCTACTTTAACTACCCTACTGAATGCCTTTTGGGAAGCTATGAATTTTATTATAGGAACATCAGTGTCCTTACTGAAAATCTGAGCTCTGTTAAGCAGTGGCACGGTTCTGCTGCAGATATGTTCTTTAGTTGGGTGAGGCAGGCAGAGCCCAGAAAATATTCCTGTTTAATTATTTCCAATCTATTTTTCACGTACTGTCTTCCTGTTTGAAGATCTTGTCTCCAGTGATTCAGCCTTCTTGGAATAGTTTGTATCTCATTAACTGGGAGCGGTTCCCAGCACATCAGGTTTGCCATCATCTGTAAATCAAATCTGTCCGATACCGCTTATGACAAGCAGCTTGGTGGGCCCCACTCTGCTGAAGAGCTTCATGCTTAGTTTCAGGATATATGTATCAGGATGGCTTATCTTACATTCTCATTGCTATTGTCACAATCATGGGGGTCATGTTGTACCAGAGCAGATGAACTAGAAAAAAAATTACAGTGGTCTGTCACAAATAATGAGTGCAATGCATTTGTCCCTCATTTCCCTCTTTTTTTTAGGCAGGTGACAAGCATTATCATCCAAGCTGTGCACGATGCAGCAGGTGCAACCAGATGTTCACAGAAGGAGAAGAAATGTATCTGCAAGGTAAGGATGTCTCCATTCCAGTAAAAGTAGACTTGATAACTTTTCCATCAGGGACCTCAGGAGTTCATGAACCATCCCCGTGTAATATGGGCAAGGAGGTCTATAGCTTTAATAGTGTTCTCATATGCTTCCACTTGAAACCCCTTTGCACTAGTAGGTGGCCATAACATGGCTTTGCAGTGACCCTACACCCTAGCTGAGGCAGGCTGTGTTTTCAAAAACTGTGGAACAAAAATGCGATTTATTAGGCTGCCTCTGAGTTTGGCATTTCATGGGTAGCTCAGCACACAGACTGGCATGAGAGATACCAAAGTGAGAGGGTTTCCCCTGAATTCTGCTGCTTGCTTTCTGAGCTCTTTGGGACCTCACTCCACACTGTGCTGTTTGCAGTCTATCAGAGAGTGGGAGTCCATGTTGACTGGGCGGGTTGAGGTGTGCATTTCTGCAGATCCAAACATGACAGAAGGCATTGCTTCTACTTAAACTAGGCTGGATTTTATAGAATAGTTTGGGGTGGGAGGGACCGTCAAAGGTCATCAAATCCAACCCCTGCAATGGGCTATGAACTAGACCAGATTGCCAGAACCACATCCAGCCTGGCCTTGAGTATCCCCAAGGATGGTGCATTGGCCACCTCTCTGGGCAACCTGTGCCAGTAGCTTACCACCCGCATGGTAAAAAGTTTTTTCCTCACATCCAGCTTGAATCTCTCTCTTTTACTTTGTCTTGGCCAAGGTCAAAGAGGAGAGATGCCTGGCTCCTTGATCTGCCACAGTTCTCTTGGCTGTATCTCCCTTCCTGTGGATGTGAATTAATGTTCTTCATGCTCACTCTGTCTCAGAGGAGGACCAGCCCAAGTTGCATTGCTTTATGGTTCACAAGCTGTTTTCTGACCAAGTCATGTTACTGCTGAGTGTGCTCCAGACTGTCCTGCCAAAGCTTTCCTTACTCAATTCAGCATGCTTGTGAGTGTAAGGGACCTAAAAGCCTTTACTGTGCAAAGCTCTCAGCTGATACATATGTCCTGACTCCATCCAAATAGTTTACCCTAGGGTGCAGAATAGCAGCATTCCAAGCATTGCCAAGGGAGCAAACAATACATACGCTGAGAATGGGAATAGCCACTATTTGCTGAACTATATCTGGTAGGAAAAGGAGGGGTGATGCAGCTTGAGAATGTGCACTGCTCCAAGCTTTTAGAAATACAGTATCATGTTTGGATGAATAAAATCTACAAGTTGTGGGTGGCTCAGAGTTCAGGATCACAACAAATTTAACCTCTTAAGCCTGCTTTATCTGATTTGGGTTTTTAAACTTCACATATTTCACACTTAGCCTTTTGTCAAAGAAAACTCACAACCATTAGCTAAGTCTCACCATGAAAATGGCATCCAAGCTGTCTTTCATTTCTTGTACACTTCCAATAACTGCATCGTTCTCCTGGGGTGTCCCTAAAATTGTGCCGGTTTGTGCTAAATACTGCCCCAAAAATGCAATGACAACTTTTTCTTTGATGGTGGGGATAGTTTAATAGAAAAAACAACCTGAGGTCCAGAGCAGAGATCATTTTTCTCAGGGTCACACTGGAAGCTCACAGCTGAATTTGAGAGTTGAACCTAAACCTTCTCAGTTCATCAGCCCCTGTAACATGAACTGCCTTCCTCCTGAGCGCCTGGATCTGTCTGACCTCCTAAGCAAATGCACAGGGCATGCTTCTCGCCTGTTCTCACAGGCTCTGTGGGGTCCTGGCTCTGGGGCTGGTGTTTGTTTACAGAGAAGGCTGTTGGTACACTTCGCCCTGTTGTCTGAGCATCTCCCCCTGCCAAACGCACAGCTTCTTCTTCCTCTGCTTGGATTCAAAGCCAAACATCTCAGACCCTTGATCCAGAGTCACAGCGTTCTCCTCAGTCTCCTGATGATGATCATACTGTGTGCTGCTGGGAAGTGAAATCATTCCTGCTGGTCTTTACTCCTGTACCGAGCCATGTAAGGGCTCCTTAGAACAGAATTTCCAGGGGCCTTGACCCATTCCTCTCCTGGGCTTGGAAGGTGGGGTTTCCTCTGGCTGCACTTGAGCTAATAGTCACCAGCAGGAGACCTGGACTTTGCTCTGTTTGGTTTCCTCATAGATAGAGTGAAGAGGTGATTTTCTCCCCTGCAGACAGACAAGGCTGTATCTTGGCTTTGTGGTGTCTGGAATGAGGTTTTAATTTCACTGCAGAAAGTGAGCTGCTCTGTTTCAACTTGGATAATACCTGCCAGCAGCTTCCCAGCAGTGACCATAGTTCATACGCCGCTCCAAAGCAGAACTGAAATGGATGGAAGTGTTCCTTGCCCCTGACACTGTTCAGACCTTGAGGACAGCCAGATATTTCCAATTTTACAGCATAAAGAAGAATCCCATGTTTTGGGACACAAACAGCAGAGACCTTGCCTTTTATAGTAGGATGTGTTGCTGGAATATGCTATGTGGAAATGCCAGAGCAACACATGCCACTGACGTTGGGGTACAATGATGTGTGTTCCCATGGCAAGTATGGTCCACTGTGATGTATGGAGATGCTCTTTCACATGGCGGTGCTTCACCACTGGCCTCTCTAACTTAGTGCAGTGTGTGAGATACAGCCTTGACTCTCCTGCACAGTGAGTTCTCTGATTTTGCCTTTCCTGTTGCATTTTGCATAATTGCAGGGAAAAGGTGGTCTGAGTAATAATTTACAGTAACTGAATATGACACGTGTTGCTCAAGAAAGTCATAGGACTTTCCCACTATTAATGGACCAGTAAACAGAACTTCCTCTCTACGTATGGTGCAGTATGTAAGGGGAGAACAGATCAGGTAGCCATGGCCAAGTTCTTTTGCTCTTACCCTCCATCGTGCACAGAAGATCCCTGTGTCTTTCAGTTCCTCTAGCTGGTGCTTGCTGCTTGAGGCTGTTTGAGTTTTAGTTAAGAATGTGTGCACAGTGCTTTGACAGCCTCAGGAAGAGGCTGCTGTAGATGGGCTGAGGATTTGAATATATTTTGTTTGACTTGTATTTCTCATGAGCTAGAATTCAATTTGAATGACTGCATAGTTCATACAGATTCACTGGCTGATGCAATGAAGGGATTCTCTTCCATAGCTGACTCATCATGGCTGTATGTTACCTGCTTTGTCCTGAATAAAGATGGGGTTCTTTTTTCTCCCTCAGGTTCCACTGTCTGGCATCCCGACTGTAAGCAATCCACTAAGACTGAAGAGAAGCTACGGGTAAGCTGAATTCATAGCAAAGACACACTGCACACTGAGTAACTGAACGTTTGTTTTAAAAGAGGGACTTTTTCTGTGGGTTTTACTTTTTTCACATAGCTGTCACCACTGGCAGAATAAATAGTGGAGCCACTTCAGAGGTGTTGCTCTGATTTTTAACCTCAGCAACTCCACATACCTGTCTCAGCACACTGCCTTAAAGATAGTGACATTTAGTGACATACAGACATGGCAAAATCTCTAAGACATTTCATTTTCTATCTCACTCTGAGAAAGACAAGGAGTAAATGTGAACAGGGCAAGTGCTATATGTTTAGTGTTTTTGCACATGTCTATAATTGCTCTATAGTTCATCCCCTATTCTGCACGGTTATTTACAGCATTTAGACAGTATAGGATCTTCTTGCTTTTTCATGCAAGTAAACCTCACCCTAAAGTTATCCTAATTTGAATGCCAAGAAGATCTGCAGTTATCCATGGAGTCACCTCAGCATATCCAGACAAACTTTCTGTATCAAATCCTTGATAGCAATGATGCTGCACTGATAAATGCTGGAGGCTGGCTTTTTATATGTACCAGGCAGTTCTAAGCCCATACTCACTAAATGAATTTACTCTTTTTGATGTCTCAATTGGTACTTTGAACTTTGCTATTTTTTCTGTAGAGTAGAGATTGCATATGAATAAAACGTCTTTCAGACAGGGAAGCTAAGAGGTACTGTCATGTACCTTAGGATATGCATATGAATAAAATGTCTTTCAGACAAGGAAGCTAAGAGGTACTGTCATGTAGCTTAGGATATCCTGTCGGTTGTATTCTATGTGTGATTCATTGACAGGAAGCCACGTCCTTCAGCATTTACCCAGGTGCACTGGTCTGTAAAACATCCCCCACAGAGAATTCACTATGATCATGGCAACATGCAGATAAATTCTTGTTGAGCAGAGTTCTTGTTAGTGGGGGCTGTCCTGATAATGCACAGGTATAATTTGCCCTAGATGGCATGTGATCTAACATGGCCAAATGTTGCTGTAGGTGCCATCCAGCATTTGCACACAGTTCTGTCCTGACCTTCCATAAGAAAATGGGAAATTATGCCAGACTAGATTTTCTTCCTCCTTTAACAATCTGAATGTAAGACAGTGTTTTGGCCCTACTTAAGTATCACAATGCTAGTGCTCTGTGGTGAATGGTTGGGGCACAATACCTCCCTTTCACTTAGACCCAAGAGGCTTCCCAAAGCAATCCTGACTACATGGTGGCCCTTCTGAACCTTCTCCAGCTGATCTTGTAAGTCAGTTGGCTTGTTCCCATTCCCCATGGAATGGCCAAAGTCCTGTTCAAATATTTTCCCTTTTTCCATCACACATCCAAGCCTGTCAGTCTTCTTCCCCCTCAGCTAATCTGAATTGATGTGAATGATGTAAATGAATTCATCCACCTGCAAGACTCTGCCTAAGTGAGTTATTGCATAAGAATGAAGTGAAGCAAAGAATGCATATTAAGGGAACATATGAGACATGTTACTGCACAGCTACCCAAGGTCACCTTGCTCCTGGGTGAGAGCTTCTATGCAGAGGTTTATTGTGCCTTTTAAAGGCATTGATAAATGCACTATAATGAAACTAGCTGAAGAGATGGAGAATTTTTTAGCTTCAGCTGCACATCACAGTCTCTACCTACCCTGGTGCAAAGCCAGACACCTTATTTTAAAATCTATTTAAGTTCATTTTGATGACTGACATATTTCATACTGCCATTCAAATGAAGGCAGTGGCAAAGAGGTAGGTACAGAAACAAAGGAAGCTGGGGGAACTATGTGCTATATGAACATGTCACCTCTAAATTATGAACTGCACTTTGACTTTCAGTTTCTTATGACGTACATTTACACCTGATGTGAGAATTGGAATCTGGTTTGTGGGTTTATAAATACATGATATAGCTGCTTTCAGGGTCAGGCCTAGGTTTTCTGGTGGTTCTGCAAAGAGCCAGGGACATGGCCTGTTTGCTCTGCTGCGTTTCCTTTCCCTATAGAACAAAACAGAACAAAAAAGCTCTTTTATCATTGAAGTAACTTCAGAAGTTTTCAGCAAGTTCTCTTTTCCCTCAGTAACTGAGTTGTGATATAAATTAACCAGCATCCTACGTGGTCAAGATCTGAAACAATGGTTGCTTTAGGTCTTCCCCCCACTGGATATTTGGGGAAGATTACAAAGCCAAAACAAGCAGAAAATATGTACGTTACAAACATATCTATTGCTTAGGAGTTTTATGACTGTCTGGCTGCTGTGATCCTGCAGCGATCAGTAACATTAGATATTGCAACACACAGGTTATTATCTAGCAAGTAGATATTAGTGACTTGATTGAAAAAAGAGCTTAACCACTGAACTGGGGAAACTGCTTTCCTTTTCACTCATTTTTTTCCCTTTTGTGTTTCATGACAGCATTCCTCATCTGAGTTCTTTTATCCAAAGAGTCTGGTTCTGCGCAGGCCACGCTCTGCAGAGGTTGGCTGTTGTGTTTTCATAGTATTGATAACAGTCTTCTTTACTGGGAAGATTCTTCATTGCTGTCATTCGCTGTGCTTGCTCCTACTTCTGCCCCACAGCTTTCTGCTATCACTTTGCCACCATGGGCACTGACGCTGTGTTTTGCATCATGCGGTGCAGTGTTGTGTGTTAATTCTCACACTTTTTATTTGGTTTAATGAAATACTTCAGTTTCTTTTTTTTTTTTTTTTTAGACTCAAATGAGCTCTTGGGGGCTGTGGTGTTGTTCTTACAGTGTTACAGAAAGTTCTTCTAAAACAAGTAACTGCAGTGCAAATATGAAGCAAATGAAAATGGTGAAAAGCATTTGACTTTAAAGTGATGGTTAAAAAGAAAGAGTTTTTCATGAACAATGGTTCATGCTTTTTAGAAAAGAAGAAAAGGCATCAGTTAAATCAGTTTATTTTTTATATGTATTGATCACCTACACTTGAATAGTTAAGGAAATACTTACAAAATTCCAGGCTTGGACATGCTCTGTGTGCTGCCCAAGAGCATTTGCCTCTCTCTAATGTAGGGTACATCCACCTCCGAGCTGGGAGGTCCTCCCTGTCCCTGGACTACTTTTCCACTTTCAGACATCCTTGAGTTTGCTTTTCACCTACAAACACCACCCACTTTCATTTCTTCTTATTTATTGTGTCTGCTGTGGCAGACATGTGGCTGTAGTGCATGCATGCACACCTGAGGTAGCTTTCACCTGATGAAGTAAGAATGTGCTGGTATGGTCTTAGTAGAGGCTAGCAGTAAGCAGACAGGCTGACAGAGTCCATGCCACTGGATTTCCATTGTGTCTGCTTGTGCTACCTTCACGTATCTAATTGCAAAATAGACAGAGTCATCTCATCAGCCAAGGCAGGATGTTTGTGTTACATGCAGTCTGCAGGATAGTGTTGTATTGTTGAATCCAATGCTGTGATTTAGTGGGAGTTAATGGAAGCCCTGTACCCTTTGTTCTGCACTGTACTTTATTCACTTAAGTTAGGATGTTGAAATGCATTAACCTTTCTTGAACAATGGTCTCTCTGTTAGCTACAGAACTATGTATAAAATACAGCTGTAAAGTTGTGTTATGAGGGCTACTAAGGAGAGGAGTATCTCTGCAGTCCTAGGCTTTATGGAATCAAATGTTGGAGTCTGGTAAGAACAAACTGGGGGACAATTTCACTCATCTCTTGGGCCAGTGTAGTGCTTCTTGCATTCAGCTTAGCATGTAAGAGTCTGAGTTTCCAGTGGTGAAATCCAGGAGCCTTAGGAATAAAAAAATGCAGATTCTAGCCAATGTAATAGAAAAAATATGCAAGGCAAAAGAGGAGCAGCCCATGCCAAAATAAAGGTATGCTCTCTTTCTTGTTTTGCAGACTGTGTAGGATGCAAATAGCTTAGGGTCAGATGAATATCCTCCTGTGTAAATTTGGCCAGTATTAAATTCTGGTTAGATTTACATGCTGATTATACAAAGTGTAATTCAAGGCAGCTTTTGGCTTCAAGTGTTCTCCTGCAGAGTAGACACAAAGATACTATCGCTATTGCTACAAAGGTGGGCCAAAGGCTTGAATCTATGTGACAACTGAAGGTTGAAAATTACTGAGTGAAAGCCTGTGACTTCTCTGAGAAGTCTGCTGTTGAATTCAGTATGTCCTGGACTTCCCACTTTATTTACTTCTGCTTTCCACTTAACTTACTCTTGAGGAAGGCTTTGCATGAGGAGTCTTGTTAAAGTTTGCTAGCAATGTGCCTTCAATGATTGTGTGTTGAAAATTCATTCTCCTCTCTGGCCTCTGTGTCTAGAAGGAAAGAAAAACTGGTTGTAACGTATTAATACGTGTGTCTGTGTGAGTTTGAACTAAACCTGTTCACTAGTTTTGCCTTGATGCATACATAGTGTAAATTCTTTTAGGCAGAGAAGTAAAGAATTCATTCATTTGAAGGAAGCACCTGTAAGGAGAAGGGTACAGTTAAATTAAGAGACAAGCCCAATTAATGCTGTAACATTGAGGTGCTTTATTTGTTATACACATGGCCACTGAACATTATTGAAATCCATAGGAAGCTTGTGTTTCATGAATTGTGGTTTCAAGTCCTGAATAACTGTAAAATCTTGCAGTGGATGAAGCAGGTGGTCAGAGCAGCAAGTGATGTACTGAGAAAGCCAAACACCCTGCTATTGCAATGTTATGTCTTCCTAGTAGAATTGCATCCCAATCTTCTATTAGTTCAGTTATAAACATGCTTCACTTAAAGTAGCTTCAGAAATATAGAGAATTTGCTTAAGCTATGGTGTTAAATGTTATCAAGTGAAAACATATTCGTTCTTCTGCAGCTATTACCACCGCCTTGCATAATGAATTCTATCAAAAAACTAAGGCAGGTACTGTAAATTAGGCTGCCAATGCCTTTGTTAAACAATAATGCATCCATTTGGCCAGATGTTCTAGGGATCAGTATTGATCTGGTTGCCTGCACTTATAAGTTCTTATAGAGCATGATTCTGAACATCTGGACTTGAGAACGCCAGAGCCATCACATTGTAGCAGCACCCAAGTGATGTGACTGACTCTTGCGTGACTTCTTGCGAGAAGTTATTTATATAGATGATGTGCCATGCATGATAACATGACAGACTGAGGTAAAGGAGGATGACCATCTTCAGCTTTGCAACCTAATATTAAAAGAACATGTGAATCCATATGGGGCATATGCATGGGTGATACGATAACTGAGCATTGAAATTCACAGTGAAGCTAACAGGGTGAGCATGAAGGTGTTACCTCTGCCAGTCTGCAAATGAAGTTGGTAAAGAACTTCTGCATTGAAGACAAATGCATGGAATGAAGAACAAAAACAAAAATAAGAGCTCTAGGATAAAGTGGGAAATACTGAGAAGTCTTGCAGATCCTTTAGATGCTTTGTGATCTAGCTCTTTGGCTTCTTTAATCATGTGCATGAATTTCTGTTGACTGAATTTCTATTGATCTTTTTCATATACTACATAGACTCCATTCATCTGGTACAGGCATCCCATATTTATGTATTTACTACTGTTAAAGCCATCTGGGTGGAAGAGGAAAGAAAAAAATGACGACTCTTCCACTGCCAGAAAATGTGGGAAAATGCCATTTACAGCAAGAAAAGGAAAAAAGATTAGTTCTTCATAGAAATTAGCTTTAACTTCCCTTGCGCAAAGTTGGTGTTATGAAAAGCTCTAATGGAATCCTTCAAGAACAAGACCAGTCACATAAAGAGTGTTGCAGATCTGTTTCTAGAAGTAAGGCAGCTTAACTTGTTTTGTTGCTGGGAGTGTAGAACAAGTGTCACAGGACTGTTGTGGTGGAAGGAAATAACTTAAATTAAGACATGTTAAAGGGTGTTTCCTCTCATTTCTTTACCTTTTTTCTTCCAATAATGTGTGCAAGAAATGCTTATATGACATCTCCACTGAAGGCTAAGGGTTATATCAAGGATAGTTGCTATTCCTGTTTTACAAGTGCTCTGATCAGCTCTCCCCTCAGGTGGAATTTACACCCCATTGCAGTTACCTCAATAAAGAACTTGACCTCCAGTGTGTCTCCTTCCACCTGTTTAAGGTACAAAGTCACAGTGGTGATACACAGGGTCAGGATTCTTCACTGCTAATGGAGGTGTAATGTCTAATCTAATAAAAGCCATACCCTGTCACAGATAGTCAGGTGCTATTCTTGGTCCCTTAGGAGAAGAGCCAACCATAGCAGCTAAAAGTACGCCAGAGGAACAGCTTATATCGAGGAATCTTTAGTGTATGTTTGTTAAGGCAAGCAGCACAAATGTTTTTAAGTGCAATGCAATTGTCTTTAGGGGAAAGTGCAAAGCTGTGAAGGATTCCAGACCATATGGGAAGCAGCAGAATAGGAAAGAGCCATCTGCAATGGAAACAGCCTGTGTAATTCAAAACAAGAAACAGGGCAAAGTGAGGCAGGAAGGGGGAGAGTAGATGTAGAAGTCTTCTTTTTCATGCGCTGTTCTAATGGGTATCTCTTAAACTTAAGCAAGGTACAGGGCTGGGAATGAAGAGGAGCCACAGGTTTGGATCTGCTTGGTGTAAGCTCCTCAGGAGAGGAATGGTGAGGGCTTAAGGGCTGGTATGATGGTGTCCTGCCCAGGCAGTGTGGAGCTTTGCGGTAGATGGAAGATAAAATTGATGTATGCACGAGAAAACTGGGTTTAGAGGGTGCCTCTCTGGCTCATGGCTGTGTTATGGGATGGCAGTGGAGCAGAAGCACAGTGCACAAATGAAGAGCAATGTGCTACAACTTGATAGTCCATCAGCAACTCCTGTACTCCAGGGTCAGGAGCACCTAAGAAGGTTGTTAGGGGTGTGTGGCTGAAACTATCTTCTGAAGGTGTCTAACTTCATTTATAATTCACTGAAGTGAGAAATACGAGTGAGTTTTCCTTTGCTGAAAAGGCTTTTAGCAGTGACACTGAGAGCTGAGGCTGGGGAGATGGGCCGAGAGCTGAGGATTTCTTGTTTGCTGAAGTGGTCATAAAAGATGCAGAATGAAGAGCAGCCAAGAGGCCCTGCCAGGTGGGAAGAAGCTGTTACTGCCTCTAACACTTGTTTTCCTGCAACAGGGAGAATTGAGCAGAAAAATCTCTTAAAGTGAGTCTGCCAAAAGCCAAAGGTAACAAGAGACACCCCTAAGAGTACCTCAAATCCTTAATACTGTTCCCTATGTTGTAATGTAAACAATTGTTATCCATAGCAACTGCAGCAAAATGTTACGTGTGTCTCCACTTAGACAATGGTGAAATGGCAGAGTGGAAGGGGGAATAAAGTGTTTCTCAACAACAGCCAGATTTTCCAGCTTAATCCTTGTAACATTTCCATGAAACAAGTGGTTGTTATTGGGTCTTTTGCTTTGATTGCATCATGGGAGGAGCTTAAGGGCAGCTGAGAAGTTTCTGTTCCCTTTTGGAATGTAGGAATATGCAACTACAGAGAGAAAAGCAAAGACACACATAAAGGTCCAGCTGAGAAAAGTGTTCTCAGACATTCTCTGGAGAGGATCTGTGGCTATGTCAGTCCACGGCCACATCTGCTCTGTTTGATCTGAATCTTCACGTTTTCTGGTGGAACATGTTCAAAGCCTTTTATTCCTCTGACCCTTCCTGACTGGGGTGATTTCATTTCCACAAGTGAAACCAGAGAAAGCCGCCTCTATGATCCTCAACCAGTTTTCAGCAGGTCTTTTATTTTTTTGTAGGGATGGTTTCAATAGCATTCCTGGCTATGAAATAAAAGATAGAAAGTCTCTGGGGTCTGAATGATCCTTTCAAGGAATGTATGCTGAGAGGTAAGAAAGGTCCAGTAGCCTTGTTGTGTTCACTCCAGATATTTCCTAGGCAAAGCCAGTGAGGCAGGCTTCAGCGTGTGCCTGAAGGTCCCTTAGTTCAATGTCGCAAGCTGACGAGGTAAGGACTCTTTACCAAGCTTTCATTTCCAGTGACTTTGAAGTACCCCTCTTCACCAGTGCCATCAGTCATCTGCTGGCGCATTGCTTTGTGATGGCATTTGGTTCCTTTGAAGTGCAGTAGGGATCAAAAATTGTTCACGCTTTCTTGGTTGCAGGTGTGGTATCATTGACTGTTGTTGTGTGCCAAGTTCAGGAGCAGTTGCCACAATAGCCTGGGTGACTTTGAACTGAATAGGTGTTTTTCAGATTCATCAAGTTTTCAGGATCCCTACATCTCAGTGCTGAGTTATTTTGTCTTTTCTCCTCAAAAAATTCCTTAGGGAATTTTAGTCCTGATGAAGTGTCTGAAAGATCCACTAATGTGTAACAACTATCACTCTGTAGGGGTGTGACTGTTCTCATGAATTTCAGCTTCCAGGACATTGTCATTAAACATAAGCAATCAGGACATTTCAATCACCAGTTTAGCTTTCATGCTGTGTCTACATTGTGCTGCAGATTTAGGGAACAGCTCCAAGCCCAGGATTTCTGCTCCTTCTACTTAGGACTGAGTTTAGTTCTGTATTCATAATGGAAATCCAGTGATGGAACATCTGGAAAGTGCTAGCGTGTGTGCTGTGCTCCTCAACAGTTTGCCTGCTGAACTGCTGATACCTCTAGCTGTGGACTAACATTTTGGTTAAATGGCTATCGGGATTATCCAGGATCATACTTTGTATGGCTCCTTGCAGTGTCTCTGGCAGGTGCTGTTTGATTTTGTTCATTATTGTTGTCAGTCTTTTACATTATATGATTTAGAAAGCCTCTTTTCCCTCTCACAGCACTCCTTTCCCTACCAATATAAAAAGCCCACTTGCCTCACAAGATTGTGAAATTTGCTTGCATTTGTCTTGACTTTTTTTCCTAAATTCGGTTAATTTCAAGTTGTATGCAGATTTCTTCATAGAAAACCAAAATTCCCAATGTTAATGGCTTCAGGTTGCTCTGAAAAGTTGCTTTTTGTTTTTCAGCCTACACGAACATCATCAGAAAGCATTTATTCCAGACCAGGTTCCAGTATACCTGGCTCTCCAGGCCACACTATCTATGTAAGTATTCCTTCTGATGAATAAGGTGCTGATCCTTTATTTGCATATGAAATACTCTGTGCTGAAATAAGTCACTTTTATACTGATGCTAATGTCTTTTTTTTCTAGTGGTTAAATAGAAATAGACAATAAATCTCTTGAAGTCACTTGGTGATGTGAAGAAGGACAGAAGGCAGACAGGTCATTTGCCTTTTTAGGGGCCATGTGAGGAGATCTGTGTTCCTCGACATGCACATCTTGAGAGAGATGCTGTCTGCAGCTGCAGGGTGTGGGGAGGAGGGTCACTGCAATAAAAGAAGCCTGGCTGATACAACACCTTCCGTTTCAGAGGTCAGATGTTTTGGTTGTGGAAGGAAAGGGAGTTTTTATTCAAGAAAAAGAATTATATTAAACATCCTTCTTTTACTAAACTGATGGTGCTGAAAGTACAAAGCCATTGATAGGCTAGTTTGTTCGTGGTGACCTGGGATGCAGGGTTTAATATGATTCTTGAGGTAATCAGTCCTCCTCTTTCATTATTTTAGAGGCTTTCTTTCCTTTCTTGGCCTCATTATTGGTACCTTTTGAGTCCACAAGACCTGAGGTATTTAAAATGGAAATAACATTAGCAGAAGGTTAGCCCAAAATTGTCAAAGGAATAACGTTTTCCTCTTCTTTCATACCATTTTCCCAGCTTTTCAGTGTAGTGAATGTCAGTACACTTTTTTCTTGGCAGAGAAGTTCACAGGCCATAGTAATCCTCTTCTAAGGAGGAAAAATATCCACTCAAATGGACCTGGGCAGAACAAGTCAGCCCCTTCTTAAACTTGCTGTATTTCTGTGCATATAACCCACACTTCCAAAACCTTACATCTAAGAGCCCTCTTCCTTGAAAACCCACATAACTTCTGTCCTTTTATCAAACATGCTCTCATATAACCTTCACAAAACCCAAGGCAGAAGTGGAAGATAACAGCTAAGGAAGAATATCACAGGAAGGCAGCTTAGTGAGGGTGAGTCCGTTATGAGAGTATCAAACATGAAGCTATGCTGGGAAGAGAATGCAGACTGCAGGGCAAACCTTTCTTTTCTGTTACCTATGCGTAATGCTGAATCACTGATTTTATAGGTAACCTTAAGATTATGTAGGTGAAAATGTAGTGTAAGACACGTATATTTATCATTTACATGCATAATCGGAAAAATGACAAACATTACAAGTGTTAAATCCTGAGTTTAATACTGGTTCTTCAAGGCATTTCAACGGCAACAATGGCCATTTACTGATGCATTAAAAATGTTCACACTGCAGGTATCAAAACACAGAGCATGTCCTGGAGAACTGCCATTCTTGCTGGTAATATCACCTTTATAAGCTGTAGCTTATGAAGTTTCAGTGCTGCTCAACAGCACAGGCTGTAGGGCAACGTGGTGACCTCAGCCAGGGGCTACAAAAATACCTATGGTGATTCATATTGCATTAAGAATATCCAGACATATTTGCAGCTCATTAGCAGGCTGTGGTAAAAATAACCCAGAAATCACATGCATTAACATACCTGCATATTTTAAGGATTAGATCAGTTTAAGATATTTTGTTGTATCTGGTGAGTAAAACCTGAATAGATTTGAAGCAATTTTTAGAAAGTGACTTTCCTATTTCAAAACTTCCTTCTCAATCAAAAAAATGATTTGTATTGTTTCTAATTGATGGCATTGCTTAAGAACAGCCACAACCAGTGGTTGTTAGGATTGCTTGGGGAAGCAGGTGATCTTTAACCTGAAAACACTAGGTGCTAGTAGCACTCAGGAAGAAAGGAACTGAATGTGTTTCCTTCTGTAGCCTCCTATGAATAAATAATGTATTTAGCAGAAGACTTGAAACCCAACTTAAATATTCTCTTTCAGTTTTAATGATCAAATATATTTCTGTAGGTAGGTAAAAATGTCTGATGGTGGGGTTTTTTTTAAGTCTGCTTTGAAGTTAGGAAGATATTAGTTATCTATACTATATATAAAGCCTCTTTCTAGCTCCTTCTCATGGGTGCAGATGCCTTTGGAACTGATTTCAGCTAGTCAAGAGCTCCTTGCAGTTGTAGTGGCAAAACCAGTCAATGTTTGTACTATATGGTATGCAGTTAGTAAGCAACATATGCCTTAGTCAGAAGCTTGGGTATCGGTTGAGTGATGAGTACAATATAATAATTTGACTTGGGAGTTTGGATACCCAGTCCTGACAAACAGTCCTGCTTGCCTTTTGATTTCCTTGTAATACGTTGTACTTCCTTTTGTATTCACAGTTATAAGTTGAATTTCTGTCTGTGGTCTTGTGCATGGAATCCTCTCATAATGTCTGTAATCTGCAAGCTAAGTTGATGTTATCACACATTTTACATATGGAAAAACAAGAGCAGAAAGGTGAAAATACTTGCCTGAGGCCACAAAATGAATCATTTTCAGAGCTGAAGTTTTCAGCTTGCTACTGGGGGATAAGAAACTTTTGTCTTACATCTTTATAAGCCAGGCTCTTTCTTTCCTAAACTGAGAAATCACTGTGTGCTTTTGCAGAGGAGGCCTGCTGGAGAAGAACAAGAAGCAATCCCTTCACATCTAGAGTGCCAAAAAGGATTTTCCATAGCAACAGTGTGACAACAAATACACAGAAATCATAAATTGTGTAGAACAGAAATGACCAGTGCATTTGTGTAAGTTAATTTATCTTCTGTCTTTGACCTTCAGGCAAAAGTAGACAATGAAATCCTTGATTACAAGGATTTAGCAGCCATTCCCAAAGTCAAGGCCATTTATGACATTGAACGTCCAGACCTAATTACATATGAGCCATTCTACTCTTCCGCCTACGAGGACAGACAGGAGAGACAGAGTCTTGGAGAGGTAATGAACCAACACGCAACTCATTCTGCTGTATGCTTTATTCAAAGCCTGCTTTGCTTCTATCCTCTTTTGATGCAGTTTCTAATTGACACTCCTAGATATTGCTGCTGCTGTTCAAGTGCTTTTTGTCTGTTTGATCTGGGTTTAATGGGAACCATCGTGATGATGCCTCATGTGCAAAACCGCACTATTAAACATACAATGAAACACCTACCTTAACACCAACCACAGGGAGGAGGTTTGCAAACTGCCTGTATGTGTGTAGCTTGCATGAATAGCTGAGTCTTTGGGTACAGCAAAATCCAGAACATGAAGCAAAAGCCAACCTGGTGTCAAGCACCAGTATTCGCAGCAGATTATGAGGAATACCATGATGTTCTGTGGCAGTAAAAGGATTAAGAGCAGCAGGATGCTTTCTCACATATTGAAGGGAAATGTGTTTCCAGAGCACTTTGCCAGACTGGATAAAATCTGAACTAGGTCAGGATAAAGTGCTTCTCCACCTGGGAAAGCCAGGTTAGTTAAGGAAATAGTTGCCTCACATTTTGAAGTGCTGACATTTAGGAAGGATTCTTGTATCCTGCAGTGATAGAAAAAACATACCTAAATCTGTATTTAAATGTATCTTTCAGGTTGTAGGGTCCTTCAGTTTTCTCAGGTGAACTTCCATAGCTGCAGTGACTTATTTACATGGTTCCATTGCAGATTGTGAAGCAGGTTTTGTCGTGTAATACCACCTGACTGTAAATCACACTTCTTGAATTTAAATCTAAATGGACATAGAAATAGATTTACTTCCTTGCAATCTCAGTGACTTTACTGACTGCGACAGCAGCTGAAGATGAGCTGAGGAAAAGGAAGTACAGTAAATCATCGAGGCACCAGTGGTCTGAAGTTGCCCACATCAGTGACTGATAATTTGCTTTCTTAGCAGAGTGTTCTGCCCACCTTCAGATCACAGCTGCCTCAGGTTTTCTTTGTCCTTTAAAGCTTTTATAGGCTTTAACATGAGCTGGAAATTCAGGAGACAGTTCAGCTCAGGAATAAAATAAGAGATTAACAAGTCAGGATATTACAGCATTGCCCCCCTGAGCTTTGTGTTGCTGGTGAATCTAGCTGGCATCTGCATCAAAACTCCTCGGAGACGTTTTGGTGACCTGTAACCAGTTCCAGTAGGCTTGGCCCATTCCACAAAACCCTCTACACACACAAGTCTCTTGTTAGTCATAGAGGAAGAACTGATCTCTCCCAGAGAAGGTGAGCTATTTGTTAATCCTTAAGAGGAAGCTCCTCCCTGACAAAGCAACATGTGGAAGCTGATGAAGCTGTATGGTGGAAGCTCTCTGCTGTTATGCCTGCTCTGGGGATAAGCAAAAGCCTTTGGAGTTTTCTTATCCACTATTGCCACCAGCATTAAATTTGGTTGGTTCCTAGTGAGTACAGAAGTTTGCTGTGGAAACAGAAGGGTGCTCTCCTTTTCAGAAGATCTGGGGTTTCCACCCAACGCTACTGCTGACTTCTGTCACCTTGGGCAAGTTACCTCACCTCTTTGTGCCTGTTTCTCCTCCCTTCCCTTGCCCTAGCGAGAACACAAGCCCACTGGGGTGGACTTATCTCTTACTTTGTGTTTGTCTTGTGATAATAGAGTAACAACACTCTTGGAACATCATACATCAGCCCCCATTATCTTTAAAAAGCAAAGTGACGTGTTTAGTCATGGCAGGGATTTCGAGACTTTGAGCAATTTAACCTGCGGTCTCTTTGGAAAGTGTGTGTAGTTGGTGGTGTTAAATAAAAGGGGACCTTGACATTAAGCTTGTACACTAGAAATGCCCTTCATCATGATTTAAAACCAGAAAAAAATGCCAAACTTGGCCAAGGAAGATATCTGGGTGTACAAGGGAGATGCGTCACCAAAATTAATGGAGACGAACCTTAATTACAGGGAATGGGCTACAAGGAAATTACATGTCTTAGACATAGAAAGTGAGAAAACACAGCATGAGACTTTCTTCTTCATTGCAATAGAAGGTAAATGCTCTGAAGGGTTTCTCACTCCTAATCTCTCTTGCTCAGTTAAGTCCCTGTCTTGTTTTTCTGGAAGTCTGTGATGAAAAACGTTTTCTCATAGCACCATCTAGTGAGACCAGGCATTTTGTTACAGACCTGCCAGCAGTTAGCAAGGAAGAGAACGGGAGCTCATGGAGAGGGGGGTTAGCTTCGGGGAGAAAAGATATGCAGAGATATAAATGAGATCTGTAAGTAAATTTTCTGCTCCTGAGGCTGACCGTTAATGGAGCAATAACATTTCCAGGCACTGTCAGTTGCTCAGGTTCTTCTGCCCTGCTACCAGCAGCCTCACTAGCACTGAAATAGTCTCTTTTCAGCTCCACCTTCTGTTGCAGAAATCCCGAGAGAAGCAGCATTTTACCTGCATGTCCTTTGTTTCTAGTATTCCGTCTGTTGAAAACACTGAATGTCTGTAAATGAGAAAAGGATTCTTTCTAATGTGACAGATGCTTCCAAATGGAGCAGGCATCCTACCTGGTAGTGCAATAAAAAGCCAGTTAAAATGAGGTTGGTGCAAAACGTTGGCATTTGTGTTATAAAGTGACACCTGTCAAAGCTTGCAGAAACTCCCCAGAATACAGAACAACCTGTGTGACTTCAGGTATAGAGCAGCCCCTTAGAGCTCAAAGTGGTAGAGCATTGAGCCTCTTGCAGTGTGTAAAAGTTTTACTGTAGTTTTGGTAAGGAAAGGTTCTCTACCCAGACTGCTTTTCCTCTGCCCTTCTGTTTTCCTCTCCCTTCTGTTTTCCTCCCCCCTTCTGTTTTCCTCTCCCTTTCTCTTTTCCTCTCCCTTTATCTTTTCCTCTCCCCTTCTGTTTTCCTCTCCCTTTCTCTTTTCCTCTCTCCTTCTCCTTTCCCGTTCTCTCCGTTCTCCTTCTCTCTCTCTTTCTTGTCATTTGGAGTCCTCCCTCTGTATTTCCTCTGGCTTGCAGTTCTGGAGCTGAGCTGTTTCTTCTCAGTTGACTGCACAGTGTATTTCAAACTGACTAATGTAGACTTCTATGATGGAGCAGTTTTTGAAAGACTTCATAAACCCCGAAGAGCCAAGTATTCCATGGCAGACTCAGAGTCTCAGATATGGCAGTTCACCTGTGCATGATAAAACAGCAAACTGGCTCCAGAGCATGGTTCCATGTCCCAGAAAGCAATGAGATGATGTCAGATTAATGATGGAGTAAAAATACGTGAAAGGTCGGTTGTGGATTCAGCACATTACTTTCTGGGCTGCCTTCCCACTGTTAGATTCCTGTGACCGCCTTTTACAGTACTCATTGCCTTAGCAGCTGGGTAACCACAGCAGATTATGGAAACTTGATTATTTACAGTCACACATAAATTACTACCAGATAAATGTGGGAATGCACATCACAACATGTGCTTTCTTCATTCATATTGAAAGGTTTAGGTTAGCTGTTAGGTTTTGTGGAGAATGATGCTACAATGTGTTTCAGTGAAGCCGAGGTTTTATAGCTGCTGCTGTTCTGTACTATTTCATTATAGATCTAACTCGTGCAGTTATAGATATAAGGAAGAAGTTCTTTACTGTGAGGGTGGTGAGGCACCGGAATGGGTTGCCCAGGGAGGTTGTGAATGCTCCATCCCTGGCAGTGCAGAGCCTAGGGTGGCATGGTTTAGTGTGAGGTGTCCCTGCTCATGGCAGGGGGTTGGAACTGGATGATCTTAAGGTCCTTTCCATCCCAAACCATTCTGTGATGATGCTATGATTCAAGGCTTTGATGGATAGTAACAAGGGCAGTCTGTAAAAAGCTTTATGAAACTTCCTGAAAAGGAAATGTTCTGTACCCACATAAAAAAAGTCACTCTTTTGGAATCTCCATTCACAGTGTCACCAGCTCCATGAGAACTGATGGTGTCTCAGTGCAAAAAGTGTAGCTGCTGTTGTATATTATTGTAGCAGTTAGACCAGAATCAGCAGTTTTCCTTCGAAGACATTATCTTAATCGTTGTGTAATAACTGCGGTCTCATTAAAAGCATAATCTCTTGCCCAGTTTTTTATGGCAATTAAATAATATTGAAGTTTAGTGCATGAAGAAAATAATTAAATCCTGATCTTCCAGCTTCAAATTGTCTTGTGATTAAAGGGCAAATAACATTGCCTTTGTTCTTGTTTGTACCATCAACATAATCCTACGTTTCACTTCTAAAGGTATTTCTTGCCTCAGTTTCCCTATCTCTGTAATAGAAACTTTTCATAATGTTGTGCATGTTTCTGCCCACTGGCCTTTGCACAGTTCTTTTATTCTAATCCCTGTCTGTTCTCCCCATGTAACCATGGTAGAACACAGAGTTAAAGGAGATCATATCAAAGAAATGTTGATGACAGCTACGTGCTCCTCTGCATGGGTATGAAATGTAAAGCCTTGGGGAAAAGCACCTTTTAGCCAGCGCGTGTGTGTTGGAGGAAGAACATGCTTCATCCTGGAAGTTACTCTGTATTCCTGATTTTCCATGCAAAGCTCTGAGTTAAGATTATTTACTTTTGATTTCCACTTTAAAGATTTCTTCATAACAGGCATGGTTATTACATTAATAACCCTTTCTGATTTTGATCTTTATGTCTGTGTTTTAATTACCACAATGATTAGATGACTGAGATGATGCATCATGATATTTGACTGAATTAATCACGGTTATAAAGATTCTCCTAGAAACTTTAATTGCTTCAATGATTTATGGACCACTTCCTGAGCCATGTGGAAAAAGCAAGTTCCAGCACTGCAATGGCCTCAGTAATTTCTGTATTACCACTTTACATTGCCATATATAATATTTGCAGCAATATTTAGATTGCCATTTTTTGGCCCAGCACATGCAGTGATGATTCAGTAACCTTATTTTTATGTCTTTGCAGTCTCCAAGGACATTATCGCCTACCCCTTCTGCAGAAGTAAGTTTGGTGGAACCTTTGGGGGCAATATCTTGCTGTGATTAGAATTACTCACTTCAGCAAATGATTTGGTATTGGTCTGTTCCATCTGTTTCTGAAGACTGAAACTTAACAAAAACGAGTTCTAAAAAGAAAGCATTACATTCTTATTGACAGATTGTGCATAAAATGTAGCTTTTGCTCCTACCTATTTGTTGCAGAGTCATCTGTCCAGCAGAGGTCACTTCTTGTGCATTCATCCCTCTGGCACAGGCGGACTTGGATCTCAGGGGCTAAAATGCTGCTTTAAGCATCTATATAATAAGCCATGTTTGCTACTAGAACATTTGCAGCTTTGTCTTGCAGATGGCATAACTGTGGTTTAGTTAGGTTCTCCTTTGCCATAGGACTTAATTTGAACATCACAAAAACATGAAACATTTGGAAAGTTGTCAGGATACAATAGATGCCACTGATGAATCATTATCATTTTGAAGGTGGGGATTGTTGCTTATTTGCAACATAGAGGTTGTAGTGATTGCTATGTGTTAAAAAAAGTGACTGTGAAATCTCTTGTAACTCTTCATGCATTGACATCAGTTCTGCTCCTTTGTCTCGGTTTGGTTTGCTTCATGGGGGTTTGGTGGGCTGGAGAGGGTGGGTTTGTTTTGTTTGGGGGTTTTGTTTCATTTTATTGGCTTTTTCCCCAGGAAACTAAGTAAATTGAATTTTCCTGTACAAGAAGGTGTCATGTTTTCGGATACAAGGGGGATCTAATTTGGGTATTAAATACCTTTTGATGTAGCTATTTGAGACACACGGTAAATAAAGCCACAGAGAGCTCTGTGCTGCAGCGATTGAATTCTTGCTGGTCTCCAAGTCAGCTAGCTGAAGGCCAGCTCATGTATCTTGTGCAGTATGCTGCAGGACAGACATAACTCTGAACGCAGCTTCCCTCATGGAGTCATAGGAATGTGGGCAAATCTGGAGTTATATGGAATTTCATAGAAATTACAGGTGGATACGGAACCTTCCAAGACTGAATTCTGACTCAGACTGTAACGATGGATTGGAGTCTTTGGAACAGCTCATAGGAGAACACTCATAATGAAGGAGGTTACAAGCTGAGAGGATATTGTTTCTGTAGCTTCTGCTGGTGTCTTCACATCTGTGAAAGTTAAGTGCAGCTAAAACTGTGTCATGTGCATTTCCATTTATTAGTGAATGCTTCTGTTCTGCAGGGTTATCAAGATGTTCGGGATCGCATGATTCACAGGTCTACTAGTCAGGGCTCCATCAATTCTCCCGTGTACAGTCGTCATAGCTACACACCCACCATGTCACGTTCTCCTCAGCATTTCCACAGACCTGGTAAGGGCAGCTGCATTACAAGTATTTGTAAGACTATTGTTTCTTCATTGTTCCTCTTAACAGGGAATATTTAAGATTGAAATATAGTTGAATATTGTAATATCTCCTTTTCTGCCTGCTTTTTAGCTCTTTATTGATGCAGTCTTTTGCACAGGTCTGATGAGTGCTTCTTACAAATATGGATCTTCTGGTTCTGTTTCTGATTCATTATTTAACACTCTCTGTATGTTTCTGAAAGCAGTAATTCACAGCGCTGAATCACGAACTTCATTCTGGAATCTGGGAAAAGTGTATCACATACAGGAAAAAAAAAAGTTATGGCTTGACTGTATAGAAGTCAGCAACGTAGGACTCCTCCCTCCTAAAAACCCAATTCATTTAAAGCTTGGTGCGGCCATGGGGTATCAGATTCAGCAGCAAACCCCCCAGATATTCCAAATTGATAAAAAAAGCAGCCTCACAAGTAGATTTCTTAATTCCATAGGCAATTGCCTGGGAACATTTAAGACCACAAACTTCATTTACTGGTTTAGCAGTCCTGGACAAGTTGTATGTAAAATGTATAAAACATGCGTGTCATTCAGGCTCCCAGTGCATTCAGAATTGCTGGTTGTATATATAAAAGCAAGATATGATAGTGAAGTGCTCATCCACACCCAACATGCATAAAAATGTATCTCTAAATGCTATTCATTGAAGACTTCTCAAGGCTAATTTTACTGTATACAGTAGTGAATTAAACCTTTGTGAGCTGTTTTTAAGTTAAGTGACACAATCATGCGGTTTCATCTTCCTTGGTGATTACAGCTGAGAGGCTGGGATGCCAAAAGCCCATCTACAACATCTGCATTTTTAAGATTAAAGATTTATAATAGAGCCACCACTGTGGAACTTGAATGCTGTAGCCATTTCCTAGTGGCGGTGGGCTGAAAGCAGCTAATTGTGTCTTTCAGTGAATGCCTTATTTAAAGGACCCAAGGGAGGTGGGACAGAAGCAAATTGTGTCTGATACTTGGTGCTGACAACATGACTCTCTGTTAAGATGACATTACAACTGAAACCGAAAGAGACTTGAAAGCATGAAAAAGCTGCAAACTTCTGTGTTTTGATTCTTGCAGTTCTGAGGGGATTTTTCCATTTGTATCAGTGTTTTCAGGGTTATGAACAAATCCAGGCCCTATTCCAGACTTTACTGTGATTGAGTTTTACTGTCTGCGTTCAGTCAACGACCTTCCCCAGAAGCAGTCTCTGTTTATGTATCTCTTTGTAATGGGTGGATGGGCTCAAGCCAGAGCTTGGATCCAAGTATAAAGTCTTCATCAGTTCACAACCTGAGGGGTTTTCTGAGAAGATATTTGTCCAAACTTACCTCTGTTGAGATGATCTCATCTTTGGCTCACCTGTTTCTGCTCCTCATATGACACAGAAGCTATTCTATCAAATGCATCATTTTGATCTTTGCTACCCTGCTTTGGGGGAATTGTTAATGCTACCTTGTAATTTTCCTACAGTAATTAGTTATGTTGAATAGGAGCACATCTATATTTACCATTTTTCTCCTAATGGCACTTCTTATCCTCATGTGATTTGCAAGAATAATTTCTCTCTGAATCAACCCAGTGGCCCCAGCTAACTTCTCTTGGGCTCCCAGCTAGCCCTTGATAAAGAAGTGAACCGCTGCATTGACGTTGGCAGCATAAGGTTCTTCAAAATTTGGAGTGCTATGAGTTCTGAGAAAGTTTGCAGCCTTTTCCTCCTGCAGTGCTCTAGCTGATGTTGGCAGCGATTTTGGAATGCCTTAAAACAATAGAGAACAGTTTGCATGCCTCTTGACTGACACTTGGTCAGGCACTTTTCAAAACAGCTGCTTTCCTAACTAATAGAGCGTCAGTGTTTGTGATGTCTGCATGCTGGGAGCAGGCTACTTTTTGGTAACAAGGCATAGATCAGAAGCTCATGAAGCCAGTGTGATGCTAAATTAGTGATGCAGCTCAAATTTGAGCTTCTTTCCTAGTACCTCCTGTAACTTTGTCTAACATTTATGAACCCTTCGGTACGTCTTTAACCTTTATTTTTTTTCTCCTTCCTTCTTTTCAGAATCCTAATTGCTCAATGCTTTTTTTTTCTCTTCCTTTGAAGCCTCCTTCCCTGCCTTTCTCTTATTGTTTTTCTTTGTTTTCATTTTGTTCTGCCCCCTGATTCCTTGCTGCCGCAGAGCTGCTCTCTACTGGTGTGCAGCGGTTGTCATACCTGCGCACTAGCAGTCTCAGCTCCACGCACCATGACTCCCGCCCCAACTCCCCCTTCCGACACCACTTCATCCCCCATGTCAAAGGTAAGGAGCCAGGCATCTCCAGGGAGTACCCTCCAGGCTGGAGATTTATTAGCATTCTCTCAAAGCTAATAAGGTTTATCTCCGTAAGGTTGCCAAAGCATGCTTTGAAATGTGCTGTTACACCAAAAACTATGTTAGAATAGACATAATATCCTTTATCAGAGGAAATATGTCATTTCTAAGGGCCCTAGCTGAAGAGTCATCAAGCAATTACCTATTCAAAATATACAGGAAAGCATTATCATTTCCTGTTTAGCACCTACATGTGTCCAATTTAGCTTTTTTCTACAGCAGTCCGTAACAGTCACTCCAGCAGTTAGCACATCAGATTTAAGTGTTATTTCCACATTCTTAAACAAGCATTTAAAAATTGACTACAGATATTGTCTGGATGAGAGGAAGATGATCAAAATTATGGAGAAGAAAAAAAAGATCAATGGCAACAAGGAAGTTAATCTCTGTTAATCATATTGGCATGCATTAGATCCCTGCAGAGTAAAATTAGTATCTCTGTGCCTCTCCTCAACTAGTGAGAATCAGCAGACTCTGCTGAAGGCAGTAGAGTTGCAGGGATTTACACTACATGAGGATATGGACATTTCTCTTTTTCAGTCTTATTTTCCATGGTTTGATTTGTGTCCCTTCAAGGAGCTCATTCAGCTCCATAAGCTTTTAGTTTTGTTTCTTGCTTTCTGTGAATGCGAATGTGGTTATACTTCTATTGGAGCACTCTCTGGCTGTGCCTTCTCTTCTACTGGGGGAGAAGGTCATAGCTCCTACCACCTACAAGAGCTCTAAAAGAAGCAGTTAAGTTAAACATAGATTCTGTTCTGGCATCTCTGAATAATGTAGGTAATCATAAAAACTGGAGATGATGAAAAACAGTTGCAAGGGAGTTGTTGCCATGAACTTTCAATAAATACTAATAGAACTCAATGTTATAGCTCTTCAAGCATTTAGATCACTATTACTGATTTTACTCTTGCCTTTCCTTATATGATTTTTGTTAATATGCACTTTCAATTTTCCTATTATGTCACTATAAAAGAAAAATCTCACTTAGCTTAAAAGATTGGGACCCTTAAAAATAGATGCACTGCTCATTTCAGCATGCAGTTAATTCATAATCCTTGCAAGTTCAACATTTCTTTGCTGAAAATCCAGATTAATGCTCACACTCTATCAAGTGGCATTTTCATTCTTTTTCTGTTGAGAAAATAGCTTCTGCAACAGATAAATAGGAAGAACTATTGGAAATCCATGCCTATTGTTTTCAGATTTCAAAGCATTACCTGGCCTGTAGGTTAGGTGTGTATCTCAGTTATCGGTGCAAAAGGCCAAGTGGGATTACAAGCAGCACTGTAGGCAAAGGGGTGGGTATGGTTCTTATCAGTAAAACATTGTAAGAATCCATGATTTTCTGAACATTTTACATAAAGATCTTACGACTGGACAGGATTTATGTGTCTAACTCAGCAAAGCTCCTGAAAGCTCACATTCGTATTGCTATGACTGTGTACACCCTCTGAGGATGTCACACATTTGAATAGGGGCAAGTAGCAGGTACCCACATCCTGTAATTCACATGGCTGAACTGAAAGAATAGTCTTTTAATAGTTGCTTGAGAGAAAGAAACACCTTCTTAAGGTGACTTAGGTTTTTGCCTAGGTTAATACAGTGGGTATATCCACATTTTTCCTCCCTGTGGAGGAAGGTGTCTGCTCAAAACAGCCCTCGAAAATACACTTTTGTGTTTCAGCTCAACACTGCAAGCTGAGTTCCCTCAGAGTATTGAGCCAAGCTCACGCATTTATAAAATCTAACACAGATAAAGTAATTTGGGGTATTTTAGGTAACGATCTGAGAGAAAACGTGAAATAGTATGGCAGAGTTCCCTGGTGACATGCAGACTGGGACAGTAGTACTCAATAAAGAACATGAACAACAGTTTTCTCTCTGAGCAGTGTAGCCAAATGTAAGCCATGCTTTGAAACAGTGTTAATTCTGAAGAGGATTTGATGTTTCTGTGTGTACTAGGGAATTAGATCCCCGTGAATTTATCTGAAATAAGAACTATAGCACTGTCTGGGGTTAATTAGATGTGATAGATACAAGGCCAAATGTAAAGAACTTTGAGGAGCAAAGGGGCTAAATCTGCCCCAGAAAGTCTTAGAGAGAGTTTGCTGATGTGACATGTATGTTGAATGAGCTGGAAGACAGTATAATATACATTAACTTAGACTTCATGAGATTAATCTCATTTGGAGTCTCAACTGAATTTGGTCTTGTCTCAATAAAGCACTGTCTTTGCTATGAAAGAATCAAAACAAGTCCATGAATGAACGAAACCCTGACCCTACTGAAATCAGAGACAAAACTCTTATTGAGAGCCAGGATTTCATCTCGCATGCCTAGAATTTTTCAGAGGCATTCAAGAATATTGCAAAGCCCCCTTAAGATTTTCATGCAAGTAGAGTTCTGAGTTCCAAACTAGTGTGTATTCCTCTGCTCACAGACCTTCCCATAAGGAATCTACCCACCTTCACAGTGAATTTGGGCCTTGACTTTCACAGGTTCCTCCTTTCCTTCCTTTTGGCAGGTCTCTGAAATCAAATGCTCCCTCTGTGTGATAACTATTTGCAGGGGGTTGTGGATGCAGCTGAAAGCTCTGCTCTGGAAGACAGCCATGCTTTCACTGTTTCATGACTTTCAGTTTTGTGCAGGGAAATAAGGGCTGCACATCTGGACAAGGTGATGAATGGTAGTTGCACAAAACCTGAATAGAACTAAGGTTTCAGGTGTCTATTCAGAAGTAAAGCAACGAAGCTGCAGCTTCACGGAAGTCTTGGTGTTGTTTGCTTGTGGGGTTTTTGGCCTGATTCGGTGAACTTAGCTTGTGAATTGCACAGTGAGCCGAGAGGTGAATGCTTCAGAAGGCAGCAGGAACCTGCATTACACTGTGCTGTGTGTAGGCAAGCAACTCTATTCCTGACTGCTAGGGGAACCTGCCTAACAAATCAAGCTATAGGAAATGGAAACTACCTCATGGAGCAAAGAGAGTGAAAGAAAAAAAGCTTCTGAATTTCAGTTCTGAGGCTGCTGTGCTCAAGCGATTGATTTTTATACTTAAACTTACTCCAGTCTCTCTTAACATCCCCAAGCACCTACACACATACTGTTCAACTTCATGACAGCAACGTGAGAACTGTTTTTTCCTACAGTGCTGGTGAGCTGGGGTGCTCTTGTTGCTTAGTGGAGTTACCACTTAACGCTAGTTATGGCATATCTGAGATAGTGAGAGACTCTCCTGTGCAGGCACAGCAAGGAACCCAAATTCAGAGCATCCACAGTCCCTACTTTCATGTAAAGCTGGAAACAGGCTGTCCATGAGGCCTTGGGAAGCAGGTCCAGGCAGGTTAGCAGCTCTGCTTTCCTGTGTGCATATGCACGTTCCACAGATGTTGGCACTGCTTTCATAAATTGTAGGTAATTTTACAGTTGCATCTGAAGCACTTAAGCTTCATTATAAGAGTGGGCTCCTCAGGGATGATCTAATGAGAATGTAAGTAGATGTACCATTCTCTCCTGCAGTGGTTGGAGGTAATGAGACTGCCATCCTAGAAAGTGTAAAGGAGAGTCATTTGTCAGTACTAGTAGGAGTCATTACGAAGAGAGAGATTGCACAGGAACCCCGGGAAATAAAAGCCAACAGAGCCATCTGTGAAGCATCATATGCAGGATGATACCATGCTAATTGTCTGCCTGGTACTGTGTGCATTATATAGCATTATCAGTTCCCTCTAAACAAATTATCTGTGTACCTGATACAAGATTAGCCAGCATACAGTTATGAATGTGAGCACGCTTAGTTTAGAATATGTCTAGTTGAGATAGAGGGGGGGGTATAAGAAGGATTTCTTCCCTGTATTTGTAGTGGTGGTGTAGATGCATTGTAAATGAAACGTGCCCACATTTTGACTACCAGTTCCCAGCAGGTAAATGCACTTGTGATTCCTTGATTGTGCCAAGTCCACAGGTCAACAATCCCTTTTGATTCTTCTCTTTCATTGAATATACTAATTGCTAATGGAAGCAGAGAGGCAGAATGGTACGTCTCTATAAAGATTGTAAATTTTAGAATTAACTGTATCTCAAAGCCTTCTCAATATTGATGAAGGCCTTTTTTTCCACATAAAAGAATGATTTTGCTGAAAATTAACTCACAATTTCTCAATAGAAACAAAAGACATTAGTAAAATCAGCTTAGCCAAGTTGGATGTTTCACCATCACAGTATCTCAACAGTTGGCCAAGTAGAACACAGTGCTGAAACTGATGAGTAAAGGACCATAGGTTGAGATATGACAAAACTCTTTCAGCTAATCTTTCATACTGCTTTTCAGAGTTAGTAAACCTACCAAATCCTGTAACCTGGCCAGAAGCTCAGCGTTGCTGCACCCAGCACAGCTGCTGCTGAATGAGGAGGTGAATTGCTGCACCCACACTAGAAAACCACCATAAACTCATGTGGTTTAGGGCTAAAATACCCAAGTGGTAAATACAGAATTTTGCTCATGCATTCTTCTGGATAAATTTTGTGCAGTCAAACCCCCCGAACTGTGTGTGTGGTTTTTAAAACATGTATGTGCAGATGGAGTAAGTTGTATACCAGCAGAAGCCTCTAGCACATCTCTCTCAGCAAGGTCTGCAAAGAGCATTTACTTCCTTTTGGTGCCTTTTAGATTGGCAGATGACCATTCAAGTAAAAGGCTGTCCTGGTTTGGGCTGGAATAACGTTAGCTTTTTGTGGAAAGTGTAAAGAAAACTTTTTCTCTCCTCACCACCTTCCCCCCCCCCTTTTTTTTCTCCTATCTGGACTTATTCATCCCTTTTCTAGGGTTTTTTTAAACCTTTTTTTAATGCATACCCGAAAAATAAAAAGAGTTTGATGCTTCCCTACTTTTCACCATTGTAGTCACCCGGCCCCATGTAAAACAAGCACCCATGCGGATGGTTTTTGCTTGTGCAAATTGCACTAGTGTGAAGAATGGCACAAAGGAAAGGCAGCAACATTCTTTTATGTTACACACACATCATGGGTTGTTAAGTCTTGATACCAGCATGGTTCTTTAACAGCCCTCTTGTCCTGACAGACACAGGAGCTTTCAGGGCCAGTGGATTGCAGTTGATGGGTTGGTAGGCGGCAAAGAAATAGTCCTGGTAAGAGTAATCCTACAAATGTAACAAACCCTGTGCAAAGTGGAACTGGGGTTGTTAGACATTAGATCCAGATTTGATGATTCAGCAGTGCTGAAGTATTGTCGCCAGAGCCAAATTTGGCATTGACAGAGACTTGGGGTGGCACCGGCATAGAAACATTGAATGGTTAGGGTTGGAAAGGACTTCAAGATGTAGTTCCAACCCCACCAGATAGGCTGCATTGCTTCACAAATTATTTTGCCATATCAGAAATTTCCTACCAGAGAGCTAAACCAGTGAAAGAGTGTGTAAGGAACAGTTACACCTTTTGATAGAGGCCAAGTGACCTACCAGCTATTTTCCATCTCTAGCTTCTGTATGCTTTTGGTTTAGGGAACGGTAGTAACTGCCAGCATCTGCTTCTATCTGCTTGGAAGCTGGTTTCCTTTTGGGTTTGCATCTCAACTACTGTGCTCTGCGTCTGCGCCTTTGAACTCCTAATATCAATCTCCGTACTAAATCATTGCCAAGTAACCTGCCATTCTTCTTTTCCACGCTGCCCATCTACCACCAGCTATGAGCATCCAGCTCCTGCCTGCATGCCGTCAGAATGAGTCTGAGCTGCTCACGCCTCAAATCCAGCCTCAACATGAACTTTTGTCTCTGCAGGAATATCAGGGGCGGGAGGGAAAAACATTACTAGGGCTACTACCAGTTCTCGTTATTGTTTGTATTTATGTTTTTGGTTCAACTTCTTTTCTCCCCGGAGGTTTTGGTTCTGCCAGTTTTATTTGGGGTTGATTTGAATGGGCTTGCTTTTCTTTTTTGTCGCTCTCCCTTTTCTCATTTTGTTTTCTCCATTCTTTCATTGGAGGCAATGAGCCGTCCAGCGGTCGGAACTCCCCTGTCCCTTATCGGCCCGACAGCCGCCCTCTCACTCCAACTTACGCTCAGGCCCCTAAACATTTCCATGTTCCAGGTAGGAGCTGGCACTGTATGTGTCTTGGTGTCCTGTCACAGTGTAGAATGTAGCCTTTGTAACTTTTGTCTTGTCTCCATCGTTTCACACTGTTTACCATGGGGTACACCCTCAGGGTTTGGAACTGCTCCTGGGCTTGCTGCGAGGGGTTAGTGAGTTAAGAAATGGGGGGACTCACTGTGATTTTTACCTGTTCTGTTGGTCAGTGTTTCATTGTTAGGGTGCCTTGGTTCTCAGGGTTTGTTGATGGCCTATGGGCTAGATACGAGCTATGTAAGGCTTGATTTTTCTCTCAGTTGCACCAGTTGAGCACTGGCATAACTCTGGTAACTTTGGAGGAGTTGGTTTTGATTCACATGTAGAAAAGAGTCAACCAGTGAGCCATTACATATGTTGTTTATTCAGATTGTTGTGACTTGATTCAGTCTTAAACCCAACAGTTCTAGTTTAGTGTTCCCTTTTCCAAAGTAGATGAGGATGTTTCTTGTTTTGTGCAATGGCTTGGTGTCCTTAGAAACCTCCAAATACACAAGGATATGTATGCCTTAGGATGTCCTCCCTATAAAGGTCAATCTGTTTTGAAGTGATCAGCACAGCTCTTCCAGCCTCTGAGAAGACCATCTGTCTTGGATTTTGATGACATGAGAATGTATGACCTGAGGGTTGTGAACATGTATCAATTGCTAGCTGACTCTTCAGGTCCCCTTTAGTCTAGTGTCCCTTTGCACTGCCAGAGGTTACTGCTCTTCCTCCTTCCTCAGACCTGGCAGATAAACTGTCTGTGGGAACTTCCCTTCCAGTCAGTGTGATCTGACTTGGCTAAGGGAGGCCGGTTTAACTGCTTAAGCTAACCTGGCTCACTTGGACTTGCATAAGCTAAAAATGCACTTGCATGAAGAGCTTTGAGTAATACCTCTAGCATGGTGGGAGAGTGTCCTCCAGCTGGAGCAGCACAGCCACAGAAGGAGCCACGTTCCTATCCCCTTACAGCTTCCAGCTATAGATGTGTGCAAAAGTTCAGCATGACCGCCCTTGTGATGTTTGTACCTATTCATTGGTCAAGTAGCCATAACAGGTCACTAACAGCAAGGAAATACCTCAGTGTCTTTGTATGCAATGAATTTGCTTGTTTAGTCAAGGATGTAGAGTTCTAAAGGGTAAGAATTGCTTCTGTTACAATAGATTTTTAGGGTTAGCTTTCCTTAATACCAAAGACTCAGTTGTCTCCTGTAGCAACTGGATCTGCAATTCTGAAACGCTTTCTCATCTTCCATTCTAATGTCACTGAAAACCTTTTTCGGGCAGTATGTAGTAGCAAAATGGGTTTCTGACATTAATTTTCTAGTTCCCAGAAGCTCATTTTGGTCTTCAAATAAGATTTTGTCAGATTTTTACACTGTTGCACTGACTTGGATTAACTTTTGTGTATGAGTTGGGCTGAACACATGAAGTGTTGGCTTGGAATGAACTGATTCATGTCTTAGATTATTATTTGTAAAATATGGTATCTTTTAGACATGCTCTAGATGACTGCACTAGACTTCTGGGAAGTGTCTTGGTTCTGATTTCCATTGGTAATGTGCAATATGGTGGGTCCTACATTAAAGAAATATGAAAGAGGAATAAAATCTATCCTTGTGGTTTGAGAATTAGTGTTATATCAGCTCTGTATAAAGCTTCCCTTTGACTCACTGAAGGGTAGCTGTGGTTGACTGTTCAAAACAGCGTCTCAGACAGCTATTTTGTTCTCTGGAATTTGAAGTTCTGTAAGCTCAGTGCATTCTTCTCTGCTCAAGCCAGCCAGCCAGTTGGAAAGAAAATTGAGCTGTTGCGACTGAAGCACAATTTTCCACACAAGTTATTTGGGGTGGTTTTCCCCAAATGGCATCTATCTTCACCATTGAAATGTCTTGCTTGTTTGCATCTCTGCTGTCTTTTATCCCACTGGTAATCTTCTGAATGCTTACAATTAATGGATCATGACTTGGAAGCATCTACATGTTACAGAATCAGCTCCAAAGGACTTCATACCACATGTCTTTGACTTACACTCGTTCTTATGTTGTTGTTTTTTTCCTGATTTTGTATAGTATTAGAAATAGCTTTCTGCATTTTTCTTCTGCTACATCCTTGGTTTGGTCTGTCTGTTGTTTTCATGTAGGAGTTACCTGTGTCTACAACTGAAACGGTTTTCATATTCCCATTTTTCTTTCTTGATTTCACAGATCAAGGTGTCAACATCTACAGAAAACCACCCATCTACAAACAACATGGTAAATGATCTTTCCCTTTTTATTTCCAAACTTGAATTAAAAGGCAAGCAGACTAGTGAAAAGCATTAAGTTGTTACCTTGTAAGCATAAAAACTCAGTAGCCCAAGCTTGAAACAGCTGTTGCTGCATGTCCTGCTGAGTGATTGTTTTAAAGCATGTTGTTTCATTTGAACCATATGGTTTAAATTTTGGCCACATTGATATTAATGGCAGAATTGCCTTTAACTGGGATTTTGCTGTCTCTTTAGCATTATGATGGCTTCCTGTATTTCACTTAAGTTTATGTTTTAAGAATACAGGTACTGATCGTGTTAAATGGATTAACAGCAGACTGTTCTCTGAGAGGGACTTCATGGAATTTCCTTATTTTAAACTGACAAAGAATAATAATTTAACAGCAAAGATGGAGATGCCATTAGCAACCTGGAATTCCAAATGTATCTCTGGCTTTAAATAAGACATGATAATATTAATAATGGAAGATGATATGTTGACTTGTCACTGACAGGGCTAATGGGATTCTCAAGCCCTGTGATAGAGCTCAGGTAGATGCTGTATTTGTTTTCCCAGCTGTTTGGGTTCCAAGTTGGACAGCAGTGTTTGTGCTTTAAGGTTTTCAGTGTAAACATTGTTAGAGCAAGCCTGAAGTTACAACGATGGCAGAAGCCTTGCCCATCTTTAGTACTGCACAGCAAAATCCTGGTTTTAATGGAGTGCGTTCACTCTGCCCTTCTGCTGTCAACAGGAAGCTTTGAATAGATGATTTTTGTGTAATGTAGTGATGGATGACTCTACTTTTTAAAGACTTTCAGTTTGCAGCCCTTTACAAACCCTTTATCCAGTGAAATGCATTTAGGGTTAAGTGGCAAATCAGCAGTTCTACAGGGTTTAGATGAACAGTTGGCTGAGAGATTGAGCTGAGATGATTAGGAGAGCTCAGCAAGTCCATTCTGTGGTTAGGAGTAGGGGTTGCAAATAACAGTGCTATGGTATTACATGAGGGATTTTTCCTCTTTGTGTTTTAATTTTCAAACCATATGCTCATTTTGGAAAAGTCTTAACATTATTTCTGTTTATTTTTATGGTTTTAATGTGTCTTCTCACCTCCCATTAACATGTGAATGTTTAACCACTGACATCACCAATTCTAATACGTAAGTACTGTTTGAAGTCATGCTTTTGTAAACTCTGACCAGCTTCTTCAATACCTGCAATTGTGCTTAGAGTTTCCCAATCACAAACTGCTCAGAATTCCCGATTAATCCTAATACTGATGTTGCTAAACTGCCATGAAAGTGTTGGATGAGCCACACAGTGGCTCACTTCATGAACAGATGTATTTCTCCTAAAAAAAAAAAAAGGGGGGGGGGGGGAGAATGAAGAAAAAATCCAGAATCGTTGCTTCTATACAATAGCTTCATATAGGAGAAAGTGATCTGAGCTAGCACTTTGCAGATAAGAGGTAATTAAGCCTCTTTTTAATGTAAACTGAATCCTATTGGATTGATTTTTTTAATGTCAAGTAGTGAAAGCCGTAATGCACATCCTCCTGTGCTTTTAAGAGACTTTGACTTGGGTGATACGGTTTAGAGTGAGGTGTCCCTGCCCATGGCAGGGGGGTTGGAACTTGGTGATCTTAAGGTCCTTTCCAACCCTAACTATTCTATGATTCTATGATTCTATGACTTAGGCTGGAATCCTGTGTGGATGCCACACTACTGAGATATTTTATTGATGAGGTTCATTTTACTGCAAGTATCTTTCCCTGCCACATTAATCATAGGCTCATAGAATGGTTTGGGTTGGAAGGGACCTTAAATCTCATCCAGTTCCAACCCCCTGCCACGGGCAGGGACGACTTCCACTAGGGCAGGTTGCTCCAAATCCCTGTGTCCAACCTGGCCTTGAACCCTGCCAGGGATGGGGCAGCCACAGCTTCTCTGGGCACCCTGTGCCAGCGCCTCAGCACCCCCACAGGGAAGAGTTTGCTCCTAATATCTGATGTAAATCTCCCCTCTTTCAGTTTAAAGGCATTTTCCCTCATCCTTTTCTTAAAGGGCCTTGTCAAAAGCCCTTCCCCAGATTTACTGTTGGCCCCTTTAGCCAATGGAAGTTGCCATACAGTCTCCCTGGAGCCTTCTGTTCTTCAGAACAGAACAAATGCGCATCTGCATTTACTACTACTGCATGCTACTAAGCAGGGGCATGCAGCTGAAAATACCCACTGGTTAAATAAACATATTTGTTTCAAATTCCTTTGTTTATTTTGCATCTTTTTCCCAGAAACATAGGAAATAATCAGCATCAGTACAGTTAAAATTAGTGCTCTTTCTCTGAACTATTTGTTTCCTTGCCCTAGAGAGAAGACAGATCAGTGCATAAATCTGGTTTCATCTTCATTAATAATCAGCTGTCCTTAGGAGTTATTGGCAAATACTTTTAGATTGAGTTTTCTCACTCTTGCCTAATCATTCTAACTCTAGTAAAATCTAGCTGGTTTGGGGTTATTTTGGGGGTGGGAATAAGGGAGGAAAGTTTGATTCTCATCTTTTGGCAAGAGAAAGACATCACTTTGCTTCAAATTGCAATTAGTACGGCAAACCATGAAAATGGTTTTGCTTTTGAAAATTAACATCTTGTAAAGCATAAAATTTAGACAAAATAAGGAAGAGCTTTATATTGATGTACATAGCTAAGTTCCCTGATTGCCATCTAGATGCAGCTGCTTTGGCAGCACAGAGCAAGTCCTCCGAGGATATCATCAAGTCCTCCAAGTTCCCAGCAGCTCATGCACCAGCACCCAACGAGATACCAAAGATTGAGACTGACCACTGGCCAGGTCCTCCCTCCCTTGCAGCCATAGGTATGCAAAAACAAATGGTACAAGCGATGCGGCTTACAAGGTACTGGTAACCAAAGTAGATTAATACCGGAGCTGTAAAAATGGAGAGCGAAGCTTGTGTCCACTCCAGGTGTTCACCGTTAAGTGCAGTTCTTCTGGTGAGACCTCCAAGTGCCTGTGAATTAGAACTATTGAATAGCACTAAGAGGTTTTGCTAAAGGACTTTGGGATTGATCACACAGACACGAACCCATAGGCAAATTATGTGAACTCCCATGCAGGAGCTTAAAAAATGTAGTGTGTCACACAAGCCTGACTTCTTTCAGTTAATGTCTATTTAATCTTTTAGTCCTAAGCTAATAGCAAATATTCCACAGGAAATGTGGTTCCTTCCAAGCACATAATTAATTTCATGACAAAAAGCAATAACTGAAGTCAAAAATTAATGGACTAAAAGAGTCCAGATTTTCAGTTACTGTTTCTGCAGACTTTTCTATTTTGTGTTGTAGCACTAGAGGTGTCTTATTTTCTTTACTTCAATCATGTGCATCATAATTTTGTTTTGGTTTGGTTTGTATTTTTTCCCTCTGTTAATTTTTATTGACCCCTATAACATGAAATGCCCTATCTAGCCTGATTCATTTATGAAGTCATGCCTGAAACACTGAAGGTGTTGCCTGTTTCAGGTTTCTGTGAGGGAGTGTATGGTTTTCCTCACAATGGGATTTTCATAGAAGAGTAGGAGAGCTCAATGACCAATTGAAGGGGCTGTGTCTGCAGTGGCAATGCTTTGGAAATGTCCATTATATAGGGCTGCAACCTTACAAACATTACAATCACAGTGAATACATCTACACACTTGGGACTCCCCTGACAGTGCTTGTGATAACTGCAGCATTATTATGATGTGTGTCTAAGGTGGAGCCTTTGTTGGAAATTCTGGCTGTCAGCTCAGTCTCCAGGCAGTGGATAACAACTCTAATGGTTTCCAGTAAAACTGCTTTCTGCATTATCCATCAGGTGATATTATTACACCTGAGAGACTAAACAGAACGATTTGGAAACGGTAAAGATAAAAATGTGCTCATGGACATGTTCGCGGATAAGAAGGCATGGTACAAGATTAAAAACCAAACTCACAAGCCCCAGATTTTTCAGCTTGTCTGAGTATTTTCTTACAGAGCTAGAACGAGCTCAGCTGCCAAAAAGTTTTATTGCTGTTGTACTGAAAAGTCTTGCAAAAGCCTGAGATAACAAACAACATAATCACTTCAATACAAGCAATTTCTCTATAGCTTTCTCTCTCTCCATATCAGCATCAATTTAACACTCCTGTACAAAACATTTAATTGATAGAAACCTTCTGATGCTGTAGTTGCAAAATTTAGTTTTCATTCAAATAAAACACTGAGTTTGTCTAGCATGGAGTTGGTGAATAACTATATCAGGGTATAGCCTGTGCAGAAAAAGGTCGAACTGCTGTCCAAATTATTGCAGTAATATCATATTCTGTGTATTCATGGAAGTGTCTTGGTGTCCAGATAGGACTATTTCTCAAGAATATCCAAGAGAATAAAGATTATTCAATACAAAGGAAGGAACTGAAGTGTAGAGCACCTGTGTCTTAATCAAATTTAGCTTTACTCAATGGATCAAATTAGTTTGCTTCATTTTAGGCTAAAACCTTCTTTATTCTAAATGTGAGTGGCCATTTAGAATATTAATGTAGTTTAATTTTCCATTTGAAATGTTAATTCAGATTTGCTTTTCTGAGTCTAGATAAAAGTTTAAATGTAAATTAGACTTAATGTTTTCAGCCACTGATACTGTTATTGGTGCCATTAAACCTCATGTTTCCAGGACTAGCAATCTGAGCTCCTTTTATCAGTTTATTGATCCGTGGGTTTTGTACCCAGGACTATAGCTTGGTTTGGAACTCACATGCAGTTAAGTAGTTGTTAATTTTACAAGAAGCCTGATAGCCATAGGACAGGCTGTCTGAGTGAGTTTTATTAAAAGTGAGTGTTCAAGAAGTCTTTTGAGTCTGCAAGAAAATACGACTTTGTTTATTCAGTAATAAACTAGCATTGAAATCTCCAAGCTGCGGTTGAACTGAGACACAAAGCTCTCTCTGTACTGTGGTTTTATGGAAGCAGGAGCTGACATGAGACGCAGATCAAGTGGAAGAGAGGAAGATGATGAGGAACTACAGAGACGCCGGCAGCTGCAGGAGGAGCAGCTCATGAAGGTGGTTATAAGCTTGTCTTCATGCTGTTTCTGAACACCATCCCAAAAGTGCCCCTTTGTTTTCTGTAAGCAGTTACTACTAATGCTTGATCAGCTTTATTTTATTGATTTTACTGTTTTTTTCAACTGCTATTTGTAGCTCAACTCTGGTCTGGGACAACTGATACTGAAAGAAGAGATGGAAAAGGAGAGTCGCGATAGGTCAGCCCTTTCTGCCAGTCGTTACGATTCTCCAGGTAATTCATGTAGGCAATAAAGCTGATAATGAACAGTGGATAGTGAACACCACATATACACACATCAACCAGCCTCCCAGAATAGAAACCACTGGGAAGACTGCTTGATATGTATATATGCTGTATTCTCCCACTGAAAGATATATATGCTGTATTCTCCCTTGAAAGAGTGGCCTAATTCATTAGCTGGTTTTGGTGGGGGAAGGATTCTCATGGCTGTTTCTTTCTTAGAAAAATATAAGGTTGAGGATTTTCAGGCAATTTTGAGGAGAGAGATTTTCTAATCTAGATAAGGAATGAGGTAGAACATTTGGTGACTGTCACATCACACACACATGCCAATAGGCTGGGTTATTAAACTACAATAACATATTTTGCTAAAATCAGTAACATTTACCAGTGGGGCTGCATATTCCAAACACAACCAGTGTTTTGGCCTTGGCTGACGTTTTGATTGCGTTCCAAAAGAATACAGCAAAAGCACAAAAGGCGACTTTGATTAATTGGTGGCTTAGATTCTTGGCCTCATTGCACATTTCTGATACACGTCTGTGGCCCTCTCAGATCTCCAGAAAAGGGTGTGGGGATTTTATTTCACTCTCTTGATCCACTGGTCACTGCAGCACAGCAGCTGTGCTTCAAGCCAAGAAGGGACAAGATGAGTCCCTTTGGAGTCATCCACTGGAGTAGCTGCCAAGCAAACCAAGATTCCTAGTGTTCCCTATTGTACAAGTGTGTTGCCTCTATTTATGCTCTTGAAGAGAATGCCTGTGATAGTGTATCTGTTGAGTCTACCTGCTCAACTCAGAGCTTATGATTTTTATACTAACTTTCACAGATTGGAGGACTCTTTTACTGGAGAGGAGTCAATCCCTCTTTGCAGTCATCAGTTGCCTTTGGAATTAGTGGTACCTTTCCCAAGGGTGCTCATTGCTGGCAACAGCAGTTCCTCAAGCTGTGCATTCCCTGCCCTTCTGTGGTAATAGTAACATTTAAAAAACAAGACATTAAGTTTTTATATGGAGGATCTCATCTGAAGGAGCTGTATTAACTGTAGAGGTGCTATTAATGAATACGCTGATGATCTATTTCATCCATCTTCTTATCTGTATTTGAAAACACACCCTTGACATTTCCACATTGTCTTGATCTTGCTCGTGCAATTTTTGAGTGCAGTGCAAATACTGAATGCCCCCAAATACCTTATTTCACTTTCATTTCAGGTGAAAGAAGGAATCACAGAGTTCTGTTGAATCATGTCTTGTTCTCAGAAGTGTCACATCATGTACAGGATAGCCATAATTTCAGATCAGAATGCCAAATTCTCAAATTGGTTTGAATTCACTCAGCACTGCCCATTCTGATCATTTTCCTGTTAATTCAGTACTGAAGCATCTGTCAATTACAGTGTTTCAGGATACAAAGAGAAAGGAGTGTGCTAGTCATCTGTATCTTGTAGCTTTCCACAGCAGCAGAAGCTGGGATCATAAGTGCAATAGTAGTTGCAGTAGGAAGGGTAGAAAGGAAATTCATGAAAGGTTCAGAGGGTGTAATGAACCATGTGGCAGGTCATGTACAATGGCATGATAATGGTGTGTAACTTAGAGAATGTATGGAAGGTTGTGATGAGTTTGGGGATGAGATGTGAGTTTCTTAGTCAGTGTGTCTCGGTTATGTGTATGCTTGGCTCTTTTAGCTGTGATTTTTTATGCTAGCTGCTTCCTTAAATGTTCATGTTTGTGAGTTTCCGTGGGATTTTTCCAGTAAAAGATTTTCCCCTTTCTCGTTCAACAGCACATGCTGCAGCCTCCAAAACCTCTTCCCTCCCTGGCTATGGAAAAAATGGACTTCACAGGGTAAGGAGATGGTGACTTTGAGAAGCAAAAGGTGGCTTTAATTATCCATGGTAGTTATTTCCCTATTAACTGTATTGGATTTTCAGTTTGATCAAGTTCCTTGTAAGGCCATCCAAAGTCAGACAAAACCTCATTCGCCTTCCCACAAACTACGTTGTTAAGAAGGCAAGAAAGCAAAACAAGAAACATTGTGAAAGTTGAAGGGGAAATAAAAGGCTTAAAGCAATTTATTTCTTCCCATAAACCAACCTGCTTGTGAAGTCGTGAACTGTGAATTTATGTTCGTGTCCCTGTTTTCCTGTTGCAGCCGGTGTCAACGGATTTTGGTCAGTACAACAGTTATGGAGACGTGAGTGGTGGTGTTAGAGGTAAGGCAGAGGAGCCTTTACATGCTGCTTCGTTACTGAACATGTCATGATGCTGGGGATGCTGGGGATGGACTCTTCATTAGGGACTGTAGTGATAGGACAAGGAGTAATGGGTTAAAACTTAAACAGGGGAAGTTTGGATTGGATATAAGGAGGAAATTCTTTCCTGCGAGGGTGGTGAGGCACTGGAATGGGTTGCCCAGGGAAGTTGTGAATGCTCCATCCCTGGCAGTGTTCAAGGCCAGTTTGGACGAAGCCTTGGGTGATACGGTTTAGTGTGAGGTGTCCCTGCCCATGGCAGGGGGGTTGGAACTTGATGATCTTAAGGTCCTTTCCAACCCTAACTATTCTATGATTCTATGTTTGATCATTTCTGCTGTTTTCTTTTCAGTGGATGTGGTTATTTTGTATTTGCTCAGTACATTTGCACTTCCTCCAGTAAACTCAACAATTAACTCAAACTCTGCAAATACCTATTAAAAAAATAGGGTTTATTTTGCTAAATCTGCTATTTGGAGTTGATCCTTGTATTTGCCAAAGGATCACTTTAGCATTGTTGCAAATGGGAAGCAGGTAATGTGTCAAATCAGGAATATGTACTGGGTTCTCTTTTCTTTCTCTGAAAATTACCATCCACTGCACAGCCTGAAATAATAAGCCAGAGTGAAGAAAGGATAATGCCTTCTAATCATTGTTGCTGAAAATGGGTTTTATTATGACTTTGAGCTAGATGTGATATCAGTCGTTGCCTAATAAAAATGAACAATATTTATGAAAGTTGTGAAACTTTAAGACTTGATGTTTTGAAATGGGTTGAGCTGAGGGAGTGGAGATTGCCAAAGGAATATTGCTCCCAACTACCTCAGATACCTTACAATCAGGCATCTTCTGTTGGTGGTCATGTCTCTTTGCAGAGGGATCTAGACAGCTACTTGATGGCAGAGGTGAGGTGAGGTGAACATTGCTCTGCACATTTAAATTTTAATTGGCTTTTTATTCACTTGACTGTGGTTTTGTGTCTCTTAATATTTCCAAAGTGACTTGATTTTCCCAAATAAAAAGCCTGCTCAGATGAAAGGGGCTGCAATATTTGGAGTGTTTGACTCTTTATGAACTAAGCCCAAAAGCAGCAAGGTTCCTGGCCTCAGAGCATCAGGTGGGATTTTGAGCAGATCAGGTAGTCCAGAAGACGTAAGGATTATCTGGTAGATTGTGAGTGATTCCTGTTCTTCCACACTCTAAAGCTGATTTCTCTTTTGCTTTTCAGATTTCCAGGTACAGTACGGCTTTTCATCAATCAACTGATACGAGAACTAAAAGCATCTACCTCTTGAAGTCTGAATTTCTGCTACAGGGAAGGGTTTCTTAAGACAATAGCTTTGATTTTCCTGCATGTTTAAGCATAATCACCAATGTAGATTCTTATCAGCAAAAACCAAACACAGCCTCAGATTCCTCCTTGTTACCTCCCCAGAGCTGGGTTGAGACAGCTCTCACCAGTTCTGTGACTTGCTCTGTAAAATCCACTGTCTGTTGATCTATGAGTTATCTGTAACAGTCCTCTCTGGGCAGCTGAGGGTGGATTTATTTCAAGCCTCTCTAGTACCTACCCAGAAATGTACAAAAAGTCTCTTCTGGAGGCAAGTTTTTTCCCATACCAGGAGTCTTGAGCTCTTTTTTACCCTGGAATTTGCTCTCCAGGCAAGATTGCTGATCAGTAGGTTTCTACAGTGCTGCCATCACAGTTGAGCCAGTAAGAGATATGCTTGCAAATACTGTCTGCAGGGTTATTTTTTCCAGAATGGTTTGAGTCTCTCTGGCTCCTCATCATAATCACCATATGAAACGACAATTTAAGAGAGGGCTTAATTACTTTTTATATATCAAAATCATGATGATTGGAAAGAGAATTAGATTATAGGAGGAGAGAGGAGTTGTCCATGTATTGTACTCCAAATGTTATTTCTCTAGGGACCGTACCTGTGTCAGAAAAGCACCTTTTTACCCTATCCCTCTTTGTGTTCATAGTAAATTTTCCCATTGTAGAGACAATGCTGGTAGACTCAGTGGGGAACTGTTACCAGCCTTAGCAATGACAGAAGGCTCTGGTGGCAGAGAAGATCAAAGTATCCCTCTGCATGCCTCAGGGAAGTAATAAACAGTAGCTATGGCAATGATCTATATGAGAAGACTAAATATTAAGACTTGAAGGAAGTCTCAGGGCAAATTCACCTTTGTTTTCACCGCTACTTGAGTGCCTTTACCCTCTGTGTGTGTAACCTATGTGTCTGATGTATACCTGTATCTGATGCAGTCCCTTCCGGATGGTCATGTCCCTGGAATGAGAATGGACAGAGGAGTATCTATGCCTAACATGTTGGAGCCAAAGGCAAGTGCAGATGTTATTCACTTTCCTTCAACACAGTGAAGGTTTGACTGTGAAATGTAGATAAATATGGGAAATGTCTTAGTTTCCTTGTTTTTCTTTACCTTACCTCAGTCCCTGCTCCTTATGTGCCAGACCTCTCCCTTTGTTCTGGACTTTGCCTGTCACAGATGTTAGCACTCAGGCAGGCTGAAGGCAGCCCAGAAGTGTGCTTCTGGGGTTGAGGAGGCTTTTCCAGAGACTAAATAAAGATGCTGAAGATACTCAGTAGCTAGTTCTCTGTCAAGCTGCCACTAGCCAAAACAGCAGGCCAAAATCAATGGGAAAGTCGCAGGTCTTCCAGGCTGGAAAAGCAATACAGAATATTGTAGATCACAACACACTGTTGAGGCTGTCTTGATTTCAAAATTAATGCAATTCTGGGATTTGTTTCAAATTGGAAGTTAGATAGAATCCTAGACTGATTTGGGTTGGAAGGGACCTTAAAGCTCCTTCATTTCCAATCCCCTGCCATTGGTAGGGACACCTTCCACTAGAGCAGCTTGCTCCAAGCCCGTGTCCAACCTGGCCTTGAACACTGCCAGGGATGGGGCAGCCACAGCTTCTCTGGGCACCCTGTGCCAGCGCCTCAGCACCCTCACAGGGAGGGAAGAGCTTCTGCCTAAAGAGCTCATCTCAATCTCCCCTCTTCCAGTTTAAAGCCATTCCTCTTGTCCTATCTCTACATGCCCTGTGAGACGTTGCTCCCCAGATTTGTTTCCAGCCCCTTTAAGTACTGGAATATATATATGGATCTATATATAGACATATATATAAAGACACATGTCTCTCTGGATCTGTTCTTTAGCTCTCAGAAATGTTAGCCTGACACCTTTCAATAATGTTGAATTGCCCAGACAAGAGATTCCTCAGGAGATTTATTGGAAAAGAGGCAATGTTAGCTGACTATAATTTAAGTTATTAATGCAGGTGCTTTTGCAGCTATGTCTAGAGATATCTGAGTCAAAAATTAACATAATATACAGAGGGGATTCAACCAGGGCTGTGTTTCAAATCTTACAACTTTATTGCTGGTGAACCTTCCAAGAAATCATGATTTTGCCAGTTACAAAGATCAGCATTTCTGCAGGTGAGGAGCTCTTTTGCAAACCAAATGACTATTTGTGCTTCCGAGTCACCTCCAGACAAACTGTACAAGGCAATAACCCCATCTTTATAAGCTGAGACCCCAGCGTGATGTATATTTACAAGTGGGTTTATATATTATATATGTAAGACCTTGGTGACATCCCCAACTCCTGAGTTGCTGCATTTTACTCCAAATAAGTTCTCTTTCAGTGCAATAGAAATTCTTACAGCCACCACTGCTGTTGATGCACCCAGTGATTTGGAATGGTATTTTGGGTGACAAATTCTGTCAGTATTATTAGTAATAAAATTGGTGGGAATGCTCATGAGATAATAGGTCACTCCGTGCTGATGGTTATAAAGGTGATGCCAGACTCTCAGCATGTGTGAATTGGCAGTATGTTTATTCATGTCAATGGTCCAATACTAATTTAAACCTGATAAAGTAAAAAGTCAGCATGAAACATGTGAAAAGTGAAAATGAGTAAACTTAAGAATGACCAAATCTTTCCGAATGGTCTCCAGAAAGGACAGAATTTGTGCATCCTGCCACCCCGGGTTGAGATATGCCTTTGTGTGAATAACTGAATATAAAATGTACCTATGACCATAGATCTTGACTTAAACTCTGCCTGTTTTAATATGAAAAGTTACATTTTAGTTTCCTATAATGCTGTGTATGGTAATGGTAGCTGTTTCCAGTATCAAACACACACAATGTAATTCCAAGTAACAGACTTAATTGTACAACTGTGACGATGTCAGAATCTCCTAAGAACCATATCTTACGATTGGTATGTAAGCACACGTCATTTAAATTATTACTACTTACAATAAACTCAGTGGTGTGTTCACTGATGCCTGAATCTTATTTATTATATTTCTGAAAAGCTCATTGAGATAATTGTTGACAATAAAATGAACGTAATGGCCTTGTGCTGCACCAACGTCGGTTAGGTGGAATTTCTTCTGATGTTAAAATAATGTCATTAAGAGCATTTGCTTATTGTATATAGTTATCTCTCCAGGAGGGTTTTGGTGGTCTCATTCTTGTTCCCAGTGGGCAAGTAAAACAAGACCCATCAATAACAGTAAAGGTTGAGCCAGTCACCACTGAAGTCTGCAGAAGAACTTCAGTAGGGGTTGGACAAGGAGTCTGGGAATGCTGTTTTCCTACTCGGCAGAGGCATGCAATTAGAAGGGCTATAGAGAGACTCTGTCAAATGGAACATGAGCTCTTCTGTGTCATTCCAGGCATTTATGGAAGCATCTGCCCAAGGCAAAAAATCCTAAACCAGACTTTTGTTTGCCAGGGATGATTCCAGAAACTGATTCTAAGGCACATGGTTTTCAGAAAGCCTTTCTAAGCAGCATTGCTTCTATTGGATTAGACTGATTGGAGATCGACTGACAGTAAACACTTCAAACAAAGAACACATAAAACAAAAGTAAAATCATTTATGCATTCAGGAATTCATTATTGGCCAGTAACTGATATGTGTAAGTTCTGGACATTATTTGCAATGTAAAGGGAAATCAAGGGAAATGTTAATGGGAGACATGCTGGACACTTACTCTTCTGAAGCAGATGAAAATGCATAAGACAAATATATCTACAAAAGTATCTCCTTTAATCCATGTAAGTATGCACAGCCAGCAACCACAGCAAGCAGTTGTTTGAATTCTTAACTACCCCAAAAGGCAAAGGAAATCATGTGATTACTTCGACTGAATGCAGTGGCCCCCATGAATTAATATCTTGCTTATTCAGAGTTGCTTCCTTTTTTTATGTACTTTCACCTGTTTCACCTTTTAAAAGTCCACTAAGTGTCTGTTTCCTTAGAGCTGTCCACACTTTGGCAGCCAGCTAGACCAATGAGTGACAAATACATTTGCCTTAATAAACTTATACATTGATGGATGAGAAACTATATTGACTAGAGAGGACTCTGACCAAAGCCAGCCAATATATCAGATGCACCATAAAAATCGGTGGGGTGGGGAAGTACCGAGTACAGTATGAGGCCGTTTGGTACTAAACAAGTTCTTGCTATGTCACATTTTGTTCTTTCTGCTTTAGAATATAAATACATCTCTTTTTCCCCCTTTTATACATTGTTAACAGATTTTTCCATATGAAATACTCATGGTGACCAACAGAGGGCGAAATAAAATACTAAAAGATGTAGACAGAACCAGGCTCGAGGTAAGAGAAGCAAGTTCCTAAATGCTCTTTCCTGCTGAAGTTGTTTGTTGTTGCACACTTGAAAGCTCAAACATTGAAGAGTGGGTCCTTGTTAGACTGGGAAGACAGATGGAGGAAGCAGCTGCATCTCCATGAACAGTGCTGGGCCAGGAGTCCCACATCTTTTTCTCCCTGCTCATGGACTGAGCTTCTCACAACACCATTGTGTTTTCAGGTAGTTAATTATATACTTATAGATTGGTAAAAAGCCCAAATTTGATGTATTGTAGTCATTTGATCCATACTGGAATGGAGCAATATGTTGTTTGATCTTGGATCATCTCTCAGTTACGGGTCAGCCCCAGCTATCCTTGAGGATCAAAAGTCTAACTTTCTTTAACTCACCCCTGAGTCCTGTGAGTTAGTTAGACTGGCTGATATCCAAAAAAAGATGAGGATTTCAATATCTGCCAACAAATAAAAACTGTTTACAACTTTGTGGGTTAGAAAGAGTCAAGCAACCCAGTGTAAGGCTGGGGATGTTAAAGTCGTTTGTAGTTAGCTAATCTTCTGTGAAGATGAATGGAAGGGGCCACAAAAAAGTTGGGTAAGTAACCATTTATGCATGTTTAGACTAGTAGATATGTGATCACTAATCAGATTTCCATGCTGTAATACATTACTGCTGAATGGAGGCACTTCCCGCTTCCAGTGCAGTCTGAAGTGGCTGAACAAGAAGTAACTTGTGCACACGACAACACCAAGAAATGTTTCATTGTCCATAGAGAAACATGCTGGACAGCTAGCCTGACCTGACATCTTCATTCTCATAACTTTGAATGTAGCATCTCAACCTGCAGCCCTTCTGCAAAGCTCTCCTGAAACCCAGTGTCTGTTTGAGTCTCCACATGTAAGCAAGAGGTGACAGCTAAAGCCTGCCACAGGGGTATGCACGAGCTGGTTTTGTTCTCTGGTCTGTCACTGATGGTTGGGTGACTTCAGACAACTTTTAGTCTCTTGCTTATTCAGCAGCAGAAATAGTTCTTTTGATGTCCTCTGTAAACTTCTCAGACTTAACCAATTGCAAAAGTATACTGATTGATAGAGCACTTGAGTTCATGAGGACTTAAAAGCCAAAGCATTATTATTTCCTGCAATGGCTGTTATTCAGTGACACGAAATCTCTAAGGCATTCCTATCTCCACTTGTGTCTCTTTGGCTTTGACTGACCGTTGCCTTTTCTCCTCTTTTTTTTTTGTCTCTTTTTGTTTTCTATTTTAAAGCGCCACTTAGCTCCTGAAGTTTTCCAAGAAATATTTGGCATGACGATACAGGAGTTTGACAAGTTACCTCTCTGGAGACGCAACGACATGAAGAAAAAAGCAAAACTCTTTTAATCTCCCCTTAAACAAACCAACAAAACTATGATGCAAAGGATATTGTGTCATGCAGTCCAAACTATTTGGAAGCAACTACTTGTCCACCAAAAAGGGAAAATCACATAGCAGCACCTCTGTACACAGCAACTGAACAAGATGAACGTTTGCCCTCCTGGAACGCAGGGCTCGGAAACAACAATGATAGTTTGAGGTGCTGGCCTGTTACATGGTATTATCCAAGATAGGAAACTGTTTTGTTCTTCTCCCTCAATGATATTCCCTTTACTTTTCTCCACAATACGATGGACTTTATTGCTAGAGCCAGGAAGTGCCCTTAGGATGCCTTGTAGACTGAAGTAGTTGTAACCACTCCAAGAACTGGAAAAGAATATATATATATAAATATATATATGTATGCCTGTTTGCGTGTGTGCACACATGTATTTATATCTATCCATCTATCTGTGTGTGCGTGTATGTATGTGTACATATGTGTGTATATATATGGAGAGGAAGATAGATGCTCTGAAGTGAAGGAGAAGCCCTTTATAACTTATCCACATGGTCACATTGAAGTCTTTCACACAACTGTTTCTTAATTGACATCTTCTTTGTGTGATATCATCTGCAAAGGTGGGCGCTCTGCTCACTTACAGTACATACCTGTTGAACTTCTGGAAAATGGACTCCTTGTACTTGTATATATTTGCTAGGATGTAGGAAGTGAATTGCTGTGTCTGTTGTCAGTCTTCCCTCTTCCACACTTTCTGCTTGAATTAATAGGGCCGGAGTTTAACCAGTCCTTTGAATAAGATCACTTAAGTAATGGGAATGATGGAGAAGAGTCAGTTTTCTTGTTATGTATTCCAGGAGATGGGTGGTTGGGGGTGAGAGTGACAGAGTGAGAAAATGCTTTTTTAAGTGTGCCCTGGTTCACACCCAGAGATTTCAGGACAGACTCCCTGCTGGTATTTACTAGTACAGCTCAGCCTGCAGTGGAGTTGTAGGATTGTCCATCAGCAGGGAAGACGGTTCTCTGCAAGCTAACGTGCAAACTCATCCCTCTTAGGGAGGAATGTTTATGAATTAAAAGGTACCATCAAGGTGCCATGCTCTGCCAATAGAGGCTTTTTGATTAACTTGCAGTTGCTGTTGTCAATATGGCACAGTGCATGGGGCCAAGCACTCCTTTTAGTTAATGTAGTTTTTCACTTGTGCTTGGAAAAGAGGGCACAGGCTTTTTTTCCCCTCTTCCTCTCTTGAAGCGTCAAAACTCCAGCCTTGGTTATTTTTATTTCCCTTTGTGCCTGACTTGGTTTCTGAAGACAGAGTAATCATGCAAGACAGTTTCTGAGCTGCATTGAACTCCTTATGGCTTTCAGTCTTCTTCCAATATGCTGCAGCTTGAAATACTGCCTGTGTATATACCTTAACTGCTTCTGGGTGAGTCCTATACAGAGAAGGACATGAGCACCAAAGTAATAGAATGAATGCATTGTGGCTGGCAGGTCAGCTTATCTCTTCCTTGGTGCTTAACTGCCAATGCATACTGCACTAATGAGCCCATCTCCTGATTGGGAGAGGGTCATTTAGGTTCTGTGTCTGTCAAAGAATATCAAGGTTTCATTTTTAATGCTGAACTTCTGGCACTGGAGACATCAGAACCTTTGTATTTTCTATTATATGAGACATTGGTGTTAAAATCTGGAAGTCAGGAAGGGGAAACAGTCCCGTGTAATTGTGAGATTCGGTATCACTGTATTGAGTTCTCTGTATCACCACATGGCATTTCACCATGAAATGTGCAGGACAGCCCAAATCCTGCCTCCTCTTTGCTGGTTTAGGAAGTCCTGTTGCAACAGATCACTGTGGTTCCTTTGATATAATCTGAGGTGAAGATTCAGTATACGAGAGGCAGATACAAGGGGTCAGCACCAGCTCCTTGTCCCTAGAACCAAAGGAATGGCGGGTCTGTGGGGCAAGATGGAGAATGTGCTACCCTGCAGGTCTAGCATCACAGTCCCCACTGAACAGAAGTCCTCAGTGAACACTGTGACACTCGCAGCTGTGTGTAAGCTTTCTGGCTGTTGCTGAGATTGCAGCAAAGATCAGTTCAATAGGTTATACTTCATTTTTCAGAACAAGCATCTGAAAGGGGTTTAGAGGAACACTGGGAAGCGAGTGGGAATGGTAGGGGCACTGGCAGCTTGAGATGCATTTTCGAGTGACTGCTGAAAACAAATCCAATGGAAGAACAGTCATGGGCTTTGTGAAAGCTGGAGGCTCAGAAATTCAGTGTTTGTCACCTGCAAGGTGTGGCTCAACTTTGAGATGAATATTTGAGTTTTAATGCATTTAAAGTGTTAAAATTCTCCACATTTCATCAGCCCCCATCCCATGGACAGTACCGTGTTGCTGCCTCTCAAACGCAGTAGGCATTGCAGGTCTTTTAGCCCACGTCGCCTTGCCAATAAACCTTTTTAATCTGTAGACTTGCTCTCTCAAGGATGTGAGCTGCCAGACTGCATTTTTCTGTTCCCATCTCCAGATTACTATAGCGTGTGAATGCACTACCCAATCATTTCAGAAATGACTAAGCCAGGTTGTTTTCTCTCCTCTCCAAAAAGGAAGACAAAAGAAGATTATAAGCCCGCCTCGTAGCCTGTAAGGAATGACAGGGTAGTTTTTATCTGTCTCATCAGCAGAGAATTTAAATCTTCAACTGCAGCTCGGGAAGGAATGAAGAGAAGCCAGCTTACATACTGCAGAATCAATCTCTAACTGGATATTTGGGCTACTGCTGGTTCACATCTCACTGGCATAGTCAGTTCATGGCCGCCTGCGCTAGAGTTAATACTGCTTTATTTCCAGTTGAGAACACAAAGGGTTTTCTGAGCTTCCATTTCATGCATACAGTTAATTCCCCTTCACTATCCCAACCACTTACACGTCGATACACCCCAAGAAATCACCAGTCCATCAGACCTATGCTACAGCCAGCCCTGGGGTGTGGAGTGTGTTTTCTGCAGTGGGCTATTAGTGAATGTCACTGCAACACTTTCTGTTCTTTCATCTGATCTTCACACCTAATAAAAACAGAAACTTAGCCCCAGGGAGGATTTTCTGTGTAAGCAATGAATCATTTTCCTAGTATCAATCAAAGCAGCATTGTCCTGGGAAACTCTTTGTAATTCCCCTTCAGTATTCCCTTGAGAAATGTCAGGGGTTGGACTTAGATGATCTTTAAAAGTCCCTTCCAACCCAAACCATTCTATGATTCTATGACTATACCTCAAGTGCATGCTTTAGTTCTTCATGCAAAACATCTGAGGTTCTGATAAAATCCTATCAAACTCAGTACTGTCTTGGCAGAACATCATTGCCAAGAGGACTGAAAACTGATTGTTTTTGTCTTTTTTTTTCCCCTTTTCCACTTTAAGAGTGAGGTAAGAGCCAGGACCTGTCAAAATATTGCAAAATAACCACACGTGTGCAAAACAGGATTAGGTACACATGCAGGTTCTCAAACACAGTTGCACGTGTAGCACAAGCACTCCTCATTTGGAGCTGAGATATTACATGAGTAGTTAACCTGGAATTTCCAGGTAGTTCCTAGTGTTGAATAGATGGCAGTCATTAAGTTATGAAGGTTGTCACTTAAATATGTGGTTGTATTTGCAGGGCTTGTGGATAGCTGTGATATGTTGAGTGTGCAAAAGGCAGGATCAGTTTCCCAAATCTTGAAAGTGCCAGGTTGGCCACAGGTGATGCCATTTAAAAGGCCTCCTCAGGCATATGTGAACACTTGCAGCACCCACAGCAGTGCTTAGATGGAAGGATAAGACCCTGTGCAGTAGTATTTATGTTAATGAGGAATCCAGAGATCTGACTTACTGGGTTTTGTGCCCCCTCCAGATGCTGGTCTGGTGACTTCCATACGAACAAGTAGAGAACTGTTCTGCATTCCAGTGGGAACAGCTGGCCATAGCCTCTATACCTGTGCCTTAACTTAGTGTAAGCTCCAGCCTCCTGTGAGTCAGCAGTTAAATATGTTGATCATCATCTCTGAAGACAGAATTAAGGCAGCTTGAAGAGCAGATCTGGAAATTACTGAACTGTCCACTGTTTCTCAATGTGATCTATTGTGGCCTCAGTTCAGGGAGCTGAATGTAGCATCTCAACTCTGCCAGTGTCCTATCCCAAACTTGCTAAACTTTCTGTACAACTGGAAGAGTAAGTTCTTATAAACTTTGCTCACAGGATCTTTCTTGTTTAACTGTTTGCTGTCATCTCGTGCTGGTGTCACTTTGGGCGGGTTTTAAGGGCATCTCAGAAACATACTTGTTTTCAGTTTGGTTAGTAGCCTTTCATTAAATATGGTTTGTGATGTGTTGTGGACATACTTGCAGTGTGCTGTGAAAGGTTAGACTAGGAGAACAGTAAGTTTCTTAATAGCTGTATGTGGGACAAGATAGCTCTGTGGCTCCAGTAGTGCTTCTGTCAAGACAGATGTCATTTCTCCTTACAAAGTCCTATAGTCTTAAGTCTGTGGGCTTTGCACTTAAGAGCTTGCTGCCTTTTCCCTGTTGCAATTTGGAAATCCTTTCTCAGTCATACAGTTTGGATATCCTGCATGAGCCTGTGCTACCTATTTCAGACTGTGGGGAAGTAGAGTTTGGAGCCCATAGCTTATGAGCATCTACACAGGAATTAATGTTATGAAGCTGCTACAACAAGTGACACAATAATTAACCCCCAGAACATTAAAAATATCAAGACCCTCCAAATTTGTCTTGGAATGACTTATCTTGACTCATCCTGACTTAGGAGGAGACCTTGGCATATTTGGACCATGGCCTCGTAGAGTAGACTAAATGGAAAACAGCCTTTTTCCCACTCCATGATTCACTACTTTCCTTCAGAATGTATTTGTGGAGGAGGATGTCCTCATCCTGGAAGTTACCTATGGCAGTGAAAAATACCAGTCAATGGTCATGCAATAAAATGTGCAGGAAACAAGAATATCAACTAATTTGTCCTGCAATGCCACTCATCTTTCCATGTCAGAGAGACTTTAGGGCTTGACTCCACAGCCCCTTCCCCATCCAGTTAGCCCCAGGTCATGGTCCAGTTCATGTCCTATCAACACATCTGCTAAAGTCCAGCATAGCCTTCAGGGTAGACACATAGCAAGGGCTGGTCTTGATGATAGGTGGTATGTTTTACCCCATTGCTACGTAATGAAGAGCTACTGAGCACTGTGATAGTAGTACAAGGCACCTTTCTCTTTTCATTTAGAAACACCCTTATCACTGTGGGTTGCAGGACTGCTCTGGCTGATGAGTTTTGCGTTGTGATTTCTCCCACACACCTTTTTTGTGCTTAAGAAAAGAAACAAAAAACATTATCATAATGCAAAGATAACAGGGTTTTTAGGCAGACAACTCTGCTGGCAGAGCTATGTGCCTGCATTTGGCAGGGAGAGAAAAAGTATTATTAACTTTAATGTAAGCATCAGTGCAGGAAGTGGGAATGTAATTGGCCATTAATGTTCTTTGCCTGTATGCAAAATAAATTATTTGTTGCCCAATGGGCTTCTAACAGGGAAACAGATTTCTGCTAATGATTTGCTAAAAAATGCCTGTCCATGTGAAGAGGTAATACTTCCTCGTGCATTGTGGTCTTTCTTTTGAGGTAGAAAGAGATGACTGAAGGCAAACAGTAACCTGTTCTGCCAGGATCACCACAGTTAATGTGAGCGTTGCTCCCTAGACTTGCAAAGCTGAGGCCCACAGGACCTTACTCCTTCAGGCATTAGGAAATGAAGCATTTCAAGTAGCAGAAGCAGCTATGGGAATCCCAGCGGTGCCTTACCAGGCTGAGTCTCTAGCTCCCTCAGGTGCTTTGACAGGTCCCACTGGACACTTGCCTGGGCTTTTGTCACTGAACACCTTCAGAATGCACTTCCCCTCTCCCCCCAGGTGCAAACCCACTGAAATCAGTGGAACCCCTCACTGACATCCACACAGGCTGGAGCAGGCTCCTACTCAGCTGGCTAGAGCAAGGAAGGTCTCTGACTGCTGTGTATGTGCACAGCAGCGAGCTCTGTGTGTTGTTACTGGATCAGTCCTGTCCAAGCAGTGCAGCCTGGTCGTTGCTGACAACTCTTCCTGTAAGGGGGCCTTACAGCTGGGGGCTTTTTTTAAGCTTTGGAAACCGAAACTAATTTTTCAAAGGTATCTTTTCTTTTTTTCCCCTTAAATCAGTAGATTTTGGCAATAGGGTTTTTATTATTTTATTTTTCTTTTCTCCTCCCTTCACATGTTACAAACCAGCATTTTGGGGAGGTGTCCCTGTGTTTTCCATTCATCTGTGAGACAGCTCTCTTTCTGAGTCTCTGTAAAAGTGAATCAATGTCTTGTCCGTACAGTAAGTCTGCTTGTATGCATAATGAAAAGTTGAGCTGGGTTGCTGTTCTGTACAATTAGTGTTTCCACTGTCATTACCGCAAGCAGCACATATTGCACTCCTGTGCCACTGTAATCTGCATCACTGTTGTACTCAAGTCAATGAATAAAGTTTGGAGCTTTATTCTTAATTGCTGGGTTCACATTGCCTCATTTATCTGTTGGGGTTTTTTCATCTTGCAGAGTTACATCGAAGTCAAACAGGATGTGCTCTCAGGAAAGAGAGAGGTGAGATAAGAATGACCAGAGCAAGACAGATGAGCAGTTACACAGCCTCAATGAAATTATAGCAAAAGGTTTGAAAATGGATGCAAGGCTTCCTGTAACTAAGTCACTAGAAGCAGATACTCATACAAACCACATAGGACTGTTAATTTCATGTGGTCAATTTGCGGTTTAAAAGGACCTTAGATGTTGGCAAGGTTAACTTAAGTCACACTGTTAGATCAAGCTAAATGGTTTCCTTTCTTTATCCTTGCAAGTTCAGCTAAAATTTTAGTTCCTTACTTGAAAAGATATTGGCATGTTTTAGTATTTAAAATTAGGCATTTGCTTTGTTACCTGGAGTTTAAACCTACCCAGCCTTACTCTGGGTGTAGAAGGCAGGGGTTGATGCCATTCAAGGAAATAAGGCTATAAACCACCTATGAATGTGCTGAACACCCAGGTCTCCAGCAGACCATAGCAGCAGCAGAACTAAGCACACTGCAGCTCAGAGGAATCTGTAGCATCTCCTATGAGTACCTCAGATAAGACATGCCAAGGGACTTCACTCCTTACTCCATGTAGATACCCTCTGGAAAAGCAGCCGCTCACACACAGCTCTAGGTGACCTGCCAAGCATCCTCACTGAATTAATATGAGCCCCCTGCAGTTATGAGACCTGGAGCAACCAGAGCTGGAGCCTCATTAGGACTGGCCTCAGGGCTTGTTTTTTAAAGGGGAGGCGGGTGGTGGTGTTACTGTTTGAAGTGAAGCCAATGGGGAGCAGGCCTAGAAAAAACTTTAAAGGGGGTGGGAAAGAATCTTGCTTCAGGCCATTGATCATCTGAGCTGCAGCCCTCCGTTGAGGGGCAGCACACACCCTGCACAGCGTCCTGGAGCCTACAGAAAGCCCCTGAAGCATAAGATAAGTGTCTGCAGATAACGTTCTTCTCTTTCACTCCCCAGCCCTCTGAGGCTTATCCCTGCCCTTACCCTATATTGATATGCTGTTGATACACTATGAGATGTTCTCTCTCACATCAAAGGTAGAGATTCGCCCAGGGTTTTAATTCAGTGCCCTGTGTTGGGTATATCTAAGGACCACGTCTCAGATAAGATGGAAGCTCCAGCTTAGAGAGCAAGAGGTGAGGAATTCAACACCACCATGAAGTTAGCCTTTAGCAAAGTTCATATTTGCCCCATTCACTTCCCAGTGTGTGTGCTGGAACTTGCACAAGAGAAACTCTTCTGTGGACAAACCCAGCAAAGTGACCTCATGGTAGTTAGATGCTTCCTTTCTTTGGGTGTTTTACTCCAGAGGTTGTGTTTTTGCTGTAGATGGGACAGAATCAAATCAGAATCAGAAAATCAGGTTCATTTACTGCAACTGCTGGCAGTATGGCTCAGTGAAGGGCAGAAACACTACTTCAGTGGAGTATTTAAACACAGGCTTTTTGCTGTGTTGATGCAGTGCCTTGCTGGCAGAGCCCTGATCCTGAACTGGATGTTTTGTACCTACAGGGTGGAGATGACCCTTGCTTTGAGCATTTAATGGTCTAATTTTCAGCAGACATGTAGGCCCATGGACTTCAACAGTTCAGTATGTATGTCCCAGTATTCCCCGTTTCCCCTTTTCCTCCATGTTTACAGACATTTCATGTCTGGCTGCTTTGCAGCCCTCCGAGCTGTCAGACCAGGTATGAATGACCGTGTAATAATCCATATTCTATCCTCATCTTTTTAGGACCAGCACTGAGAAACTTCAGGTGTTTTAGGAAAACTCTTGGGAGCAAACCTTGGCTGATAGCACATGGTGCTGTGCAGGCTACTGATGAGGAGTGCTGGGCAAACCTGAGACAGAGAAGAGTTAGGAAGACTCGAGGATGGTTTTAAATGTCTCCCCATTCACCTGAACAATGAGTCTAAGAGAGTCTTTCTATGCCTCTAGTCTTAGTCTATAGTCTAAGAGACACCTTTCTTCAGTATACTGCTTATTTCCACTTGTTTCCTCTTCCCCTGGACATCAGGGAGATGTTTCCATGCAGGGAAGGACCCCAATCCCCTCCTGCAAGTGTGCAGCCTCCAAGCACTTCCATGTTAGATGCTCCCTGGGCATCTCTACACTCTTGGGTGTAAGGAAGAGCTGTGCATGGAGCATCTGCTTAAAAAAACACAAGTATAGGACTATGATTTGCCCTTGGGAACTTAATTGGAAGGTTCCCAACTGAAGAAAAGGAAAAGAAGAGCCTCCTTTTTGAAGCAGTCTCAGTCCATTGCCCATGTCTCAGCTCATTACTTGTAGCAAGTACAGTGTAGTGCTAGCCCTCGGACACATCTTGTCAAGCCAAGCTCTGGAGGTCCAAAGCAGCTGGGGATCTTTGACCCAGCAGCATAACAGAGCAGTTGCTCCATTACAGCCTTCCCCAGCCCAGACCAGCTGGGAATATCACTGTGAATGTACTTCTGTGTGAAGACCAAATCCACAAGGATCCCTTCCAGTCATCAGCCCCACAGTGTGACAGTGCCAGCCAGCCTAAGCACAATGTAATTCCCCTGCAGTTAAATACACAACCCCAGTGAAATCCAAGTCCAGGGTTTCATATTTTTTGTACTTGTTGGACCATATTTCCCTGCTCCCCTCCTCCCCACAAATAATATGAGGTTTATGACCCCTGAGTAATGACTGTGGAATGCACTGCATCCTACAGGCATCACAAGGCATCTGGCAGTGGGAATCTTCACAGCATGTCAAAAATACACAGATAATACCATTGTGAATAGCTGAGATCAAAATAAGTCAAATGTCAGTGCTAATTTGCTGTCAAGTATATAGCCCAAGACCACTTCCTCCTGCAAAAAGAGAAAGCCAGTTCCCAAGTGTGACTTGCTCCCCACCAAAAGAAGTTTGTTCTCCACCAAAAACCCCAAAACTCTGAATTAACAAAAGTGGGGAGTGTTTTCCCCTTGCTGTCTTATTTTCCTGTGGCTTTTATGCCTGTCTGCTGCTGAGTCTGAGGCTGGGAAATGAAACTTTGGATTTCCCTGCCATTTCTCTATTGTAAAAAAAGGACCCTTGGGAGAGAGATTTACTGTTTTGTATGGCTCAGTCAGAGGGCGAGAGAGGGAAGTCGTTCCAGGAGTTCCCATTACAAAGCATTTTTTCACATAGGATCACTTTTATTTCTTAAGGACTGGGAGATGAAAGAGCCTGCAGCACTGGAACAGGAAGTTTGCTGTACATCCAAAGGTCAGGTGGGTCTCAGACAGCCACTGTTTCCAGCTCTCTTGTATATACACACTGCAGATTAAAGTGTACATCCCGGGCTGGATATAGTGGTAGTGATGGGGGACCATGGGTTCAGGAAGAAGGAGGAGAGGGGAGCAGGGGAGCAGCACAGCGCAGCCTCTCCTTGGGCTGTGATGCCATAAGACAAAGCGTTGGGTGGCTGTGCAGCCAGCCTAAGGTATTCCCACGCCCCACAGCTTGTTCCTGCCATCAGATATGTCAGCATGACTGCTTGTGGGGTCGCTCCCAGTGACATTCCGGAACTGATCCTGCTTAGGAAAACATTTTTTACTTTTTATTTCATCACACACAGTCGTTTTGGGTTGGGGTTTTTTTACTTTTTTTTTTTTTGTTATTGTTGCTTTTAACATGGAGTCAGTTCCCTGCTTTGATTTAAGCAGTGGCCTCACAAAGCCGTTGTGCTGGCATGAAAATGGGATGGGCACAAAGACAACAGAGTCTGAAGAAAGAGCTGGAGCAGAACATGTTAAAATGCTAGGGATATCGGGTCATAGAATCACAGTCTCAAGTCCATGACAGAGAGGACAGGGGGTGGCCCTCCCTTAATTCCATCAGTGCCTTCATACCTTCTATGTGTTAAGTAGTCAATTAGGAAGGGTGTAATTGTCCCCAAGACCTCCAAGGTTCATACTGCTGGAGTCAGTTTTGCAAGGCCAGGGGTGTTTCAGCTGTCACCCCAGAATTAAAGAGGGAAGCAAAGAGGTGGACTGACACTCACCCTCAACTTGCACCATCTGCAGGACATGGCTGTTCTGCTGGGAGAGGAAGCCAGATGCAGACTGTTCCTGCCTGGAATGCTGCTGTAGTGGCATGTTACCCTGTGTCCCAACTGCTCTGCTCACTCCAGAACTGTGCTCAAGAGCAAAGGGATGAAATACCAGTGTCTTGTTTTGCCCTTTAGGCTGGGCAGCAAGTCACGAGATGTAAGTTCAAGGCTTTCAGCTTTCTGAACTTGGGCAAGTCACTGTAATTCTCTAGGCTCCAGGTTTCCCTCTCACCCTTTGTGATCTGTTTTGGCTGGAGATAGCCAACTTGTGCCATGGATCAATCCAGTCTGCAAGGCAGGTTAAGCCCCACCTAAGGCTTTTGATTGAACAATGCATCAGCCTGGCCAGAAGCTTTTGCCTCGAAAGCTTCTGTCAAGAAGATACAATGCAAGCAGGGCCTGTGGGCCAGAGGGCAAGGTTGCCATTGGATAGTTAACTGCTAAGATAACTACTTTGTCCTTACATTAGTGTCTCTGCAAGTGGTTTTGCTAAGCCAGAGAGTCTCTGTTACTCGTCAGGCTGGTGGAATGATGTCCTGAAGAAGGTTGTTAGGGTGGAAGGAGAACCGCTGCCACACAGTCTGTGCTACATTAGTGTTCAGGGCAGAAGATGGGATAGAGCCTCTGCTAGTCACGCTTGCCTTGGTGGGTATTACGGTGTCTCTGCTAAAACTGCAGCAATGCTGTTTAGCCATAACACTGGAGAAGATGCTCTCTACAGAGTAGAGCCCTTCTTAGTGAAATCCCCAGTCTTCATAGTTGGCAAGAGTGAGGGCTGGATGTGAATTGTGCTGGGTAGCTCAATGAAGAAACATCCAAAGGCACGTCAGGTCTGGCAGGAACAGTGACAGCTG